TCAAAAGGTTGAAATTATGTCCCACCTTCTTGGCTAGTTTTAGAAAACTGTGGAATGCCTTGTTTTCATCATGAGTCTTGACATGCTTCACAAGAGGATCATCAGACAAATAAATGTGTGCAAAGTGCACAAAACAATTTTATCATGAAGAGCCTCCACATTAATCAAACCACGCCCTCCAATCATAATTGGTAAATATGAGCGATTGAGGGAAGAGCGAGGGTGGTGGGATCTATTGTCTGACATGATTCTTGGTGTTAGGGTGTCAATACCCTGAAGTAGTAGTAGTAGTAGTAGTAGTAGTAGTAGTAGTAGTAGTAGTAGTAGAAGTATAAATAAACTCGTTCACTCTCTCAAATCGTAGTAGTAGTAGTAGTAGTGGTTGTAGTAGTAGTAGTATAAATAAACCCGTTCACTCTCTCAAATCGATGAGTTCGTGGCATGCCAGAACCCTATGAGCGTGTGTATCAATTCCCGATTCATCCTGATTAGTTTTGGACCTACATGACTTTCGACTTTCCTCCAACATGAAGCTCACATGCCATAACCGAAACACTGTTCAGAGCGGCGTTAAACTATACTCACTAACGAATTTCACAATAATGTATTTGCCATGTCAACATTTAAACCTACATACTTAATCGGAGTTAATACTTCAAACTTCGGTAAACCAACGACCAATTAACTCACAGACTGAGCTCCTTCACGGACGTATGTATGCACATTTGCAATTTTTATGACTGAGTTCGTTCACTGGGCACATTCATCTATAACCATAGATCAATTCAAGGAGTTTTTAGTTCTCATTAAATAATTAATTATTTTTTAAATTTAACATTGATAAATTTTGAAATTGTGTTGACAGTTAATCTATTTTAACTGGCAGCTAAATTGCCTACCATCACATGCAGCTGAATGGTAGTGTAAATCCTGCTGGGGAACCATGTAGGAAGCAGAAGTATCGTAGGTCCCCACGGCCCCTAGCATGATGGCCTAACTTTGGCTGCTGGCGATCTATAGCCCGTTTGTTATGTATAGTGATGTATTTTTATGCTTCCATATAGTTTTAAATCTGTGATAATTCTACTAGTAGTCATTTTACTGTCCGTTGTTGACAGGATTTTATAGTTTAAATTTATAACCTTTGAAAGTCACGATGTGTCTGATGAGACTTTAAATTTTAACTCACTCCTTCACTCAAAAATCGTACATTCAGGAGCTTAACACAAGTCACCATCAAGATCTTATATTGTGTCTGGGTGTATTCGGACTTCACCTGTTGAAAGTTAATATGTTGAAGCTAATTAGCATTGTCTTGATATCAGAAGGACAAAACTGGCATGCAGTACGTAACTTAACAACTCCGGGTCGGGCAAATATAACATTTATTGAACTAAACTACACAAAACTGCATCCTGCTTACTTTGGTTGTTCTTACATGTACATATCTATGCTCTCTGCGTCATAGCATTTATTCACCTGATGAAGGAGTAAGCATATATTCCGACACGTTGTGTTCCTCATAATAAAGAAGTTGACATCCATAAATTCTCTTCCTTATACATTGTATGGCTGAAATACTGCCTATGCGACACAATTTATATTTGAAGGTTTTTATAGCTGAGCATGTCATGTACGTCGTGCTAAGATGTGAATGTAGAGACATCGCTGGACACGCCAAGCCGACAAAGGAGAAAATGTGACTGATAGCCTAAGATGAATGATTACGAGTTAATTCCAAATACAGCGAAAACCCTATTGTATTGTGAAGGACTGTCAGTCACGAATATTGCTTTTAACCATCATATCAGAATATAACATACTGACCTACTTTAAAGACGCTCGATTATTTGCAATATTTGGCGAAATGGTCACAACAATCAAATTAAGTTGTTCTGTACAGTTAGGAATGAGAAAATAAAACACAGCAATGTCGTTGTTAGAGTTCACATCTCATTCGATGCGTTTCGAGATTTGAGCACCAAAACAGCGTCAACATTTAACAACTTATGAGGTACAGTCGTGCATGCTCTTTCTACGATAATTTCAATGACCGTCATACAACTCTTGCTCAGAGGTTGTTTGACGAAGGTTACAACATGCAAGGCCTCAGTAAAGCTTTCAAAGAGCCTAATGGTGGATATGTTGAGAACATTTACAAATTTGACGATCGGTGACAAAAAATGTGTTCGAATCATGTGTTCCCTACTTTTGACTTGTACCAAGCGTCATCACTTGATAGTGATTCATGAACACATGCTCCTGATATCTTCGGAATCATACAATCGAGTTTGGTTTTAGCAGTGATTTCTTATGAATATGAAAAGGGTTTGGTTACTTGTATTTACAAACACCCAGGGAACTAACTGCCTGTGCTTGTCATGAGCGGCATTTAAATGGATCTAGTAGTCAGGCTCGGTGACTAGGTTGACTGCATGTCAAATTATGTCAGTTGCTTATAACGGTGCTCATGATGTTAATAACTGGGTTTTCTGGTCCGGACTCGATTATTCACAGTCCCCCGTCTTGTAGCTGGATTAGGGTGAGGTAAAACAACCACAAACAAACCAATCATCAGTGGCAATAAGCATGATTCAAATCGTAACAGCTGATGTTTTCATTATCAAACCGTTCTTCCCTGGGCAATTATGTAGATCTGAGAGCCTGAAAGAGTCAAACTCATAAACATGTGTGTTCACTTGCATAATTTTCCCATGATGCTTCTTGTCTATCAGGTGCTTGTCGTTGTCTTAACAAGAGAGAGTGTGATCTTCCCAAAAAGTACTGTGAGGCTGGGTGTGAGACTGGTTTCACAGGCAGTCGATGCCAGTATGGTAAGATCCCTATTGAAACATTCAAAAGAATAAATGGTCAGTCCAAATGGTAAAATAGCATATGGTTGTTTCTTGAATATGTTTTTATTCACTATATATACACACAAATGTCATCGCGCATCATATTACCTTTAACTAAGGGATGACACTTACCATGTTTAATCAGTTTACTGATGCCAATTGTTTCAAGCAGTAAAACCGCTGTGGTTAAATAGTTGCAATATTACGTAACCTATCCTACCAACTGTACTTCTTTGTTCCTCGTGATTGCCTTGAAACTAGAAGATCGTGCATTTGAAACAATTTATTGACCATGTATACACGTATTAAGTACGACACACTTAGCGGCATATAAACATGAGTTAAGGTTAGATGTATTCTACCAAATGATTGTGTTACATATAAGGGTTTTTATTTTTGAAAACAGAAGTTGATTTTCTTTGCTTGACATGAAGTAGATTTCTATATTTTGGTTTAGCCACTGAGATGATAACGTCTAAATTATGAATTCAGCAGATGTCCCATGAAAACATCTTGCAATTAATTATGTTTTAACGGTTTCAGTCAACCAATTGGCATCCTGCAAAGACCACCAAGACGTAGTCGATGAGAACCTCAGAACGTGTACAAGTCAGGGCTACAAAGGTTTTATAACATGCACTGTCAAAGGCCCAGCAAGAAAATTTAACATCATCCGAATTTTTCATAAACCAGGTAGGTCTATATTAATGTAAATGCATTTGGGATTAAATATAAGTTGGCCTATTGTGCAGAGTTGTGAGAGAAGTGATAGACGTCTGACATGTCTGACAACTTCTGCTGACACCCCGAGATATAACTGGAATACTGTTCAAGGGAGCATTAAAACCAATTCACTACCACATATTTTATGAATTGTAAATATGCATTATTGCATTATAATTAAATAATTTGGACCGATTACGCTTTTGATCAATCAACATCATGTATATTTAAATATTGTATTCCGTTATATTGACCACGTTTGGTTTGACGTCAGTGGTAATAACATACCGCTGCTTATCAGTTTGACTATGTATCCCTCACACACGAAACTTTACACCAACCGTATTTGTATAGCTTAATTAATGTTGCATTGAATGATTTGACTGGATTTTTGCGGGTGCATTCACTTTTGTTTCTACCTTAAACAGATGCCAAGATTATCAGCAACAAACCCATCAATCTACAATGTTGCTTAGGTTCTCAGTTCTGAAAAACTCTTGATAGGTGATTTGGACCCATCAGTTCCGCTGTCAGTTGACAAACAAATCTGATACAAGGGAAGAGCGCCCGCCAGTCTTCTGTCCTAGTTCAATTCTGAAGTTGATTCAAACCAATCTAACAGTTGCATATCAAAGACAATGCTACATCAAACAATATTTCGTCTAAAATTCTTATTTTTTGTTGGTAATACAAAACATGTTTGATAATTGCCAAAGCAGGTAAATCTTACTGGATCAATGCCATATGATGATTTTACATAACATGTCCATTATTAAACTAAATCCTAAAGAATGACTTGTTTTCGTCTTATTTTGTTAAAGGTAAAAGTCTGTCCACATTTTACATTGGTGCAAAAGACAGATGGGAAACAGTATCGATTCGCAAAAATGTGACCAACAAGATTACTGACTACGAGTACACAGGGAAGCGGTTATACCCCAGTCTTATATTACACCCTCAGTTCAGAGTGTGTGAGGTAGCAATTGCTTATGGCAAGTGAACGTTTATTATGCATGAAATAAGTTACATAGAAGTATGTATTCATGGCGTGGAATATTTGGACTGCTGACGTCTATATATACTTATCATATACATGATACAACCATGTGGATAGTGTATACTAAAGCCCGGAGAAATGGTTGATTAAATTACATTAAATACATGCGCTACTCTTTTGGGTGAATTTGTTTGGTGCCTTTTCACACGGTATTATATCCAATTGCTTACCTACGATATAAGTATATCTCTAGTCATCATTTTTGGTGTACTTTTTCCTGATTCCATATGATTAAATGAACTTTCTCTTTGACGTTAAACGTACAAAAGTAAAACATCTACATCTGATATGTGGTTCCACGTATTATCCTTGTCTGTCCTGTACAGTTTCTACGCTGTTTTCACACGTGCTTGCCCATTCTTAGAATGCCTTCATGACGATGAATGTAATATGGAGTGCAACTGTAAGAACGCTTCAGACTGTTTGGAGATCCCCAGGAAGTGTCCGTCTGGTTGTGCCATGGGATACACCGAAAAAAACTATGGCTGTGAAAAAAGTGAGTTTTCATAGGCCATTTATTTACATATTTGTTAAAGTATACTCAGTTATCATATACTTTTTATTTGACACACTGAACAATGACTATGAGTATGAGGATATGTACTGTATGGCTTTCGAAATTGCTTTAAACTGTACACACAACAAGTCACTTTTCCAGCAAGACCAAAGTAGCTCGATGCCCTTTTAAGGCGTCCGCCTTACCGGAAGGTCACATCTAAACTGTTCTTTCCTTTTCAAGTAGCTGTGCATCAATACAGTAATATAGTCGTTATCCAAATAGCATGTTTGTCTACTTTGTCATCCGTCAGCTTCTAAAAAATGCCTACCAAACAATATGATTTATATTGTTACATTTAAAATAAGAAGTTTTACCCAAAAGAGTAATGTGATAATAGGTTCTCGTTGATCGTTTGTAAAATTTGTGTGCTTCAAATAACTTTTCTTAGATTTGTTTTGCCGAAACTAAGAGAATAGCGCAAGAACGCAAATATTGCCATGGAGTAAAAGACTCATTTCTTGCGAACAGAACAGAACATTTCCAGAACAGACACATCCACTGTTCAATGGGTAATTATTTTATCAGGTGAGGATTCCGGGTCAGAATAGATCCCAAGCAAACTGAGCACGTATGTGGCGATTTAATGGATCAGGTGGTCAGGCTAGGTAACTTCTTTGGATGTGAGTCTGGAGACGCGATCATTTATAGGCCGCCGCCATATAGCTGGAATATTGCTGAGAGTGGCGTTAAACAACAAACGGGAAACAAACACCTTAACGTCACATACACAGGTGAGCATTGATATGACAGTACCTTTAAATGTCTTAGATCTCATTACCTGCACAGTGTCCAGCAGGTTACAATCCCCCATCATAAAACAACACTCGGGCATATTCATAATTTCAAATAGCAATATGCTTTTCCTTTTTTCAGATGAAGTAACGCCTGCATCGACTCTGGATCACGAAAGGTCAACAACTGCTGCAACTACATCACCTCCAGTGGAACCGACCAACGGTAACTATAGCTTTGTATCGCAGTTGGAAAACTGGCGTTACTTCAATACATTGGCGACGACGTTTATGAGATACACCTACTGTAAAACTATGTATGTTATCGATAAACATACAACTCTAAACGTACTTTGAATTTAAAAGCGATTATTGTTGTTGTTTATCCCAATCTACAATTATAAAGCCAATCGCAATCGCCTATGAATAAAGAACATGCATGCCTTACCTCGCAAAGTGATTATTCTACAAAATACCACAAAATACCAAATACTCGCGTGAATGAGACGCAAACTTAATAAGATAAGTTACACAATCTGTGCACATAATGCGTTACAAGTTAGTTTATTAACATCTATGTTGCCGTTAGTATGTTATTTCGTGTCTGATGTTCTGAGCGCGTGTCCCTTCTTTCTTCCTACAGCAGGACTGTTTGTATAGTTAAACCAATACAACGATAGTAGTCAGGCCGTGTCATAGATTTGGTGATGTTCAGAGTTTGCATGATTCAAAGAATCTTTAGCATTGGAGTTTGTTTCATGCATACGTGTCTTCCTGTTTGCCACCGGGCATTTATTATTATCACGAGGAGGTATGTGTGCCTATTAAGACTACTCTTTACATGTGTCTTTTATCACCATCAGGTAAAAACTTCAAAAGATAATTAGTATAGTCGAACATGAGTAAGTCCCCATGATCCGCAGTGAGGTGGCCTAGCTTTGGTTGCTGGTGGCTTATAGCCCATGTTTTAAAGAGTTGTAAATGATTATTATTATTAAATATTTGTGACAAATTTGCTTTTAAATATAATTTTGTATTTATGACGTACGTGCATATACATGTATATAAACTTGTTGGAATAATGCAGATACGACGTTACATTAACTCACTAACTCACTAACCGTTCATGAACGGTTTAACTGTTTCTTTTTTTATGATGGAAATTTCTTCCATGGTGGCGTGGCAGAAAACTACTTTCGTTAGCCTTCGTTTTGGACTTATGCGGATTTGAATCCCGCTGGCGACACACATTTGTCGTGGAAATTGTTCGTTCATAAAGGTGTATGATATTGGGGAAGGAAGTTCCGTCATTGCCTTCGTCATTAAAACATGCTATAAAGTTCATAATTTTGTCAGTCATGTAAAAATAACATTAACAACGTCATAAAGCCATTTCATAGCTAACACACTGACTGATTTTGTTTTCTCAAAATGGCGAGCGTGACCATGACCTAGGCGGAAGTGAGCAATGTCATGTGGTCTTGGCGCAGAAACTAAAATATAATTCCCCTTCACTCCAACGCTCCCGCGTGAAATCTTCCAGGCTTGCTACAGTGTCGGAATATGTATTAGTGAGTGAGTTGTGTTTTACGCCACTTTGTGGAGCTGGGTGTAGGTCAACGGGTAACACGGCAAACGGTCACTGTACATGTTAAGCTCCCTGGACGGGAAATGGCTGCAACAGTAAGCACAGTCTTTCTATACCAATGAGAACACAACACATAGTGGTACACTCCATGGCCAAAAGGCGATGTTCACTTATTACAGTGTCATAATATGTATGAGTGAGTGAGTTGTGTTTAACACCACTTTTAGTAATATTCACGCATTGTATCCATATAGGGAATCAAATCCGGACTTTCGATGTTACAAACGAACAAGAATACCCCACCGTTCCTAATCTGTATAAGTTTGGTGATGAAGTGACAAGGATGACACAATGACTGATCAATATCTGGTGTGTCCGCCATGTTGGGCGATACATGCACGACACCTTGATGGCACACTGTTGGATTAATTTGCGTCTGGTTGCGCTTGAAGGGCTATCCCCAGCTCGGCATCGTTGTGAATAAACAATTAGAGCAATGTTATTCTAAATAAAGTGTCTAAGCATTCTTACTTGTTATATTGCTTTGACATTTCAGCTGTGATTCTTCTGAAATACACGTCCAGAATTACTAGAAAGCAGAAAGTAATGGTTTTGTACCGCATACTGGAAATTGTCATGGAAAACTTTATGCTTCGTTGTATAATGGTCAATAGCCAATTCTCATGTTCTTCATACGAAGATTTCAAAGGATACACAAGTGGGACATGATCCTATTAGCGAAACCCTGGAATCCTCACTATTGCAAATCAAATATTAGCTGACCTGGATCTTTTGGCATTGCTCCAGAAGACAGACGTGAAATGCCTAGATTTTTCGTAACTGCATCAGTTGGAAAAATACGTTGAAAATTCATTTGAAACTGGTATTCTTTTTGTATCATATATACTGATGTAGTGCGTTGCTGTGGCATGAGCAGTTCATTATGCATAACTGTATGGTACTTAAATGCTACTGTGATACTGAAGGTTCTCTGCTCTTTTTTGGCTAATAGTAGACGGATCGTTTCACAATTATTTCGGTTGATTCTAATTTTGCCGGCACCTGTGCTGAGAATACACCAGATATCATCGCACAGTGAAGCAAAATATTATTGCTATCATTTTATGTGAGTTGTTTTCAAGTATAACACAAAACACTGGAAGTCCGGTCCTGCAGTGCCCAACGATACAGTATGCTAGCCATACAATTGCAACGCTCACGATGTTTCGTACAAAATCTACTTCTCATTGGAACAATTTGTGTTAATTTACAGCATGCAGTGGCGGCTATTACAAGGACGGGCAATCCTGTACACCGTGTGGAGCTGGGTGCAGGTCAACGTGTAACACGGCAAACGGTCACTGTTCATGTAAAGCTGGCTGGACGGGATATGGCTGCAACAGTAAGCACAGTCTTTCTATACCAATGAGAACACAACGCACAGTGGTACACTCCATTGCCAGAAGGCGATGTTCACTTGTTACAGTGTCATAATATGTATGAGTGAGTGAGTTATGTTTTACGCCACTTTTAGCAATATTCACGCATTGTATCCATGTAGGGAATCAAACCCGGGCTTTCGATGTTACAAGCGAATGCTAGGAACACAAGAATACCCCACCGTGCCTAATCTGTATACGTTTGGTGATGAAGTGACAAGGATGACACAATGACTGAACAATATCTGGTGTTTCCGCCATGTTGGGCGATACATGCACGACACCTTGATGGCATACTGTTGGATTAATTTGCGTTTGGTTGCGCTTGAAGAGCTATCCCCAGCTCGGCCATGTTGTGAATAAACAATTAGAGCAATGTTATTCTAAATAGAGTGTCTGAGCATTCTTACTTGTTATATTGCTTTGACATTTCAGCTGTGATTCCTCTGAAATTCACATTCAGAATTACTAGAAAGCAGAAAGTAATGGTTTTGTACGGAATACTGGAAATTGTCATGGAAAACTTTATGCTTCGTTGTATAATGGTCAATAGCCATTTCTCATGTTCTTCTTACGAAGATTTCAAATCATACACCAGTGGGGCATGATCCTTTTAGCGAACCCCTGGAATCCTCACTATTGCAAATCAAATATTAGCTGACCTGGATCTGTTGGCATTGCTCCAGAAGACAGACGTGAAATGCCTAGATTTTTCGTAACTGCATCAGTTGGAAAAATACGTTGAAAATTCATTTGAAACTGGTATTCTTTTTGTATCATATATACTGATGTAGTGCGTTGCTGTGGCATGAGCAGTTCATTATGCATAACTGTATGGTACTTAAATGCTACTGTGATACTGAAGGTTCTCTGCTCTTTTTTGGCTAATAGTAGACGGATCGTTTCACAACTATTTCGGTTGATTCTAATTTTGCCGGCACCTGTGCTGAGAATACACCAGATATCATCGCACAGTGAAGCAAAATATTATTGCTATCATTTTATGTGAGTTGTTTTCAAGTATAACACAAAAAACTGGAAGTCCGGTCCTGCAGTGCCCAACGATACAGTATGCTAGCCATACAACGCTCACGATGTTTCGTACAAAATACCCAGTTTATCAATGACTGTCTTCTTCTCATTGGAACAATGTGTGGTAATTTACAGCATGCAGTGGCGGCTATTACAAGGACGGGCAATCCTGTACACCGTGTGGAGCTGGGTGTAGGTCAACGTGTAACACGGCAAACGGTCACTGTTCATGTAAAGCTGGCTGGACGGGATATGGCTGCAACAGTAAGCACAGTCTTTCTATACGAATGAGAACACAACGCACAGTGGTACACTCCATTGCCAGAAGGCGATGTTCACTTATTACAGTGTCATAATATGTATGAGTGAGTGAGTTATGTTTTACGCCACTTTTAGTAATATTCACGCATTGTATCCATGTAGGGAATCAAACCCGGGCTCTCGATGTTACAAGCGAATGCTAGGACCACAAGAATACCCCACCGTCCCTAATCTGTATACGTTTGGTGATGAAGTGACAAGGATGACACAATGACTGATCAATATCTGGTGTGTCCGCCATGTTGGGCGATACATGCACGACACCTTGATGGCATACTGTTGGATTAATTTGCGTTTGGTTGTGCTTGAAGAGCTATTCCCAGCTCGGCCATGTTGTGAATAAACAATCAGAGCAATGTTATTCTAAATAGAGTGTCTAAGCATTCTTACTTGTTATATTGCTTTGACATTTCAGCTGTGATTCTTCTGAAATTCACGTCCAGAATTACTAGAAAGCAGAAAGTAATGGTTTTGTACCGAATGCTGGAAATTGTCATGGAAAACTTTAGTTTCGTTGTATAATGGCCAATAGCCATTTGTCATGTTCTTCTTACGACGATGTCAAAGGATACACCAGTGGGGCATGATCCTTTTAACGAACCCCTGGAATCCTCACTATTGCAAATCAAATATTAGCTGACCTGGATCTGTTGGCATTGCTCAAGAAGACAGACGTGAAGAGCCTAGATTTTTCGTAACTGCATCAGTTGGAAAAATACGTTGACAATTCATTTGAAACTGGTATTCTTTTTGTATCATATATACTGATGTAGTGCGTTGCTGTGGCATGAGCAGTTCATTATGCATAACTGTATGGTACTTAAATGCTACTGTGATACTGAAGGTTCTCTGCTCTTTTTTGGCTAATAGTAGACGGATCGTTTCACAATTATTTCGGTTGATTCTAATTTTGCCGGCACCTGTGCTGAGAATACACCAGATATCATCGCACAGTGAAGCAAAATATTATTGCTATCATTTTATGTGAGTTGTTTTCAAGTATAACACAAAAAACTGGAAGTCCGGTCCTGCAGTGCCCAACGATACAGTATGCTAACCATACAACGCTCACGATGTTTCGTACAAAATACCCAGTTTATCAATGACTGTCTTCTTTTCATTGGAACAATGTGTGTTAATTTACAGCATGCAGTGGCGGCTATTACAAGGACGGGCAATCCTGTACACCGTGTGGAGCTGGGTGCAGGTCAACGTGTAACACGGCAAACGGTCACTGTTCATGTAAAGCTGGCTGGACGGGATATGGCTGCAACAGTAAGCACAGTCTTTCTATACCAATGAGAACACAACGCACAGTGGTACACTCCATTGCCAGAAGGCGATTTTCACTTATTACAGTGTCATAATATGTATGAGTGAGTGAGTTATGTTTTACGCCACTTTTAGTAATATTCACGCATTGTATCCATGTAGGGAATCAAACCCGGGCTTTCGATGTTACAAGCGAATGCTATGACCACAAGAATACCCCACCGTCCCTAATCTGTATACGTTTGGTGATGAAGTGACAAGGATGACACAATGACTGATCAATATCTGGTGTGTCCGCCATGTTAGGCTTATAAGAAATGTATGGATAAGCATATAAAACAATATAAAGATAACTTAGGTAAAATGTTAAGAGAAAAACACAAACACTCCCCAAAAGAGTTTTGGAAAATGTTAAAAGGAGATAAAAAAGATGACAATATTTGTCCTGAAATTGAAGATTTTTACCAGTTTTTTAAGTCACTCAATGAGACAACTTCAGAAGACCCGGAAATGAAGGAATGTACTATGGATACACAATATGACTGTGAAACTTTAAATGGAGATATCACACCTGATGAAGTTATGATAGCAGTAAGAGAACTAAAGAGAAATAAAGCATCCGGTATTGATTTTATAGAAAATGATTATTTTATTGATAGTATTGATTTATTAACCCCTTTGTTAGTTGAACTATTTAACCTGATATTTGAAAAGGGTATACTTCCAGAATCTTGGTTAGTGGGTATAAGTAAACCGATTTACAAGAAAAAGGGTGACCCACTTGATCCTAACTCGTATAGGCCAATCACTATCCTTAGTTGCTTTGGAAAACTATTCACCAGAATTTTAAACAACCGTTTAACTAAATTCTTAGATAAAAATAATATTCTAACACCTGCCCAAGCAGGATTCAGGAAATCTTTCTCAACTGCTGACAATATATTTGTAATTTATATGCTTATGCAAATTTTAAAAAATAATAAACAAAAATTATACTGCGCTTTCATAGACTTTACTAAAGCTTTTGACACTGTTTGGCGAGTGGGATTGTGGAGGAAAATGCAGACTATTGGCATCAAAGGTAGATTTCTTACGTTAGTTCAAAATATGTATAAAAATATTAAATCGTTGATACAGTGTGATGATAAAATGTCAGGTTACTTTCCTTGTAATATAGGTGTCAGACAGGGAGAAAACCTATCCCCTCTATTATTCTCAATTTTCATAAATGACGTGGAAATCTTTTTGCTTTCATCTGGGTGTGGAGGAGTTAATCTCAACTATGATCAAGATAAAGACTTAATTGTATGGATCCAATTCATAATTCTATTGTATGCAGATGATGCTGTATTATTTGATGAATCACCAGAAGGTTTACAGAAAGCCTTGGACACTTTTAATGAATATTGTGAAGAGTGGAAATTACATGTAAATATAAATAAAACAAAAATTGTGATTTTCGGTGGTGGCCCATCGAAAAATTCGAAACATAAATTTCACTATTCTGATAAAACTCTAGATATTGTCGACACTTATACATATTTAGGAATTGTACTTCACAGGAATAGAAAACTAGTATCAAGTCTTAAGTCCCTCAGTGATAATGCTTTGAAAGCAATGTTTTGCCTGATAAAAAAATCAAGAAATTTAAATTTACCTTTGGACTGTGTATTATCAGCTTTTGATACGATGGTATTACCAATATTAACTTATGGTTCAGAAATCTGGGGCTTTGAAAATTTAGAAATTATAGAAAGAATACACCTCAAATTCCTCAGACTTATCACAGGATTAAGAAATTCAACTCCTCGTTATATGATATATGGCGAATTAGGTAGGCTACCATTAAGAATAATAATTTGTAAACGAATGATATCTTTCTGGCACAAATTAACATACCAAACTGGAGTGTATAAACTTTCACAGCTGTTATATCAATATCTGTCTATTAACGGGAACAAGACTATTGCATCAACAAATCCCTGGGTTAGATGTGTTATGAATATATTAGACAGTATTGGATTATCTTATGTATTTAACAATCCGTCAATCTGCACAACAAAGTGGCTAGTGTCAGAAGTAGAGCAAATACTTAAAGATCACTTTTTTCAGAAATGGAGAAGTGACGTTAATTCTAGTTCTAAAGGCTTATACTATAAACATTTAAAGGACACTCCGGTTCTCGATAAATATCTTCTACTGCCAAAACGAATAGCAATTCCAATACTACGATTTCGAACCTGTAATCATAATTTACCTAATGAGACTGGTCGATGGAAAAATATTCCCAAAGAAAATAGAACTTGTAAATTATGTAATTCCCCATCTATTGCTGATGAATTTCACTACTTATTCAGATGTAATTATTTTAAAAGAGAGAGGCGAACATTTCTCTCACCATATTATACTGAATGGCCAAATATTATAAAATTTGTAAAACTCTTATCAACAACAAACACACAGGATCTAAAAAAATTATCGAGATTCATTGTAAAAATGTCCATTAGTATTAAAAATGCTAGGTAATCACATGTTGTTATTAATTGCCATCTTGTCTGCTTTTTGTACATATGCATAATTATTTATTGTAATATGCTCTTGTACCACCTTTTGTGGTTTCTGAGAATAAACTGATTCTGATTCTGATTCTGACACCTTGATGGCATACTGTTGGATTAATGTGAGGTTTGGTTGTGCTTAAAGAGCTATTCCCAGCTCGGCCACGTTGTTAAAAAACAATTACAGCAATGTTATTCTAAATAAAGTGTCTGAGCATTCTTACTTGTTATATTGCTTTGACATTTCAGCTGTGATTCTTCTGAAATACACGTCCAGAATTACTAGAAAGCAGAAAGTAATGGTTTTGTACCGAATGCTGGAAATTGTCATGGAAAACTTTATGCTTCGTTATATAATGGTCAATAGCCATTTCTCATGTTCTTCATACGAAGATTTCAAAGGATACACCAGTGGGGCATGATCCTATTAGCGAAACCCTGGAATCCTCACTATTGCAAATCAAATATTAGCTGACCTGGATCTGTTGGCATTGCTCAAGAAGACAGGCGTGAAGAGCCTAGATTTTTCGTAACTGCATCAGTTGGAAAAATACGTTGAAAATTCATTTGAAACTGGTATTCTTTTTGTATCATATAAACTGATGTAGTGCGCTGCTGTGGCATGAGCAGTTCATTATGCATAACTGTATGGTACTTAAATGCTACTGTGATACTGAAGGTTCTCTGCTCTTTTTTGGCTAATAGTAGACGGATCGTTTCACAACTATTTCGGTTGATTCTAATTTTGCCGGCACCTGTGCTGAGAATACACCAGATATCATTGCACAGTGAAGCAAAATATTATTGCTATCATTTTATGTGAGTTGTTTTCAAGTATAACACAAAAAACTGGAAGTCCGGTCCTGCAGTGCCCAACGATACAGTATGCTAGCCATACAACGCTCACGATGTTTCGTACAAAATACCCAGTTTATCAATGACTGTCTTCTTTTCATTGGAACAATGTGTGTTAATTTACAGCATGCAGTGGCGGCTATTACAAGGACGGGCAATCCTGTACACCGTGTGGAGCTGGGTGTAGGTCAACGTGTAACACGGCAAACGGTCACTGTTCATGTAAAGCTGGCTGGACGGGATATGGCTGCAACAGTAAGCACAGTCTTTCTATACCAATGAGAACACAACGCACAGTGGTACACTCCATTGCCAGAAGGCGATGTTCACTTATTACAGTGTCATAATATGTATGAGTGAGTGAGTTATGTTTTACGCCACTTTTAGCAATATTCACGCATTGTATCCATGTAGGGAATCAAACCCGGGCTCTCGATGTTACAAGCGAATGCTAGGACCACAAGAATACCCCACCGTCCCTAATCTGTATAAGTTTGGTGATGAAGTGACAAGGATGACACAATGACTGATCAATATCTGGTGTGTCCGCCATGTTGGGCGATACATGCACGACACCTTGATGGCATACTGTTGGATTAATGTGAGGTTTGGTTGTGCTTGAAGAGCAATCCCCAGCTTTGCCCCGTTGTTAATAAACAATTACAGCAATGTTATTCTAAATAAAGTGTCTGAGCATTCTTACTTGTTATATTGCTTTGACATTTCAGCTGTGATTCTTCTGAAATACACGTCCAGAATTACTAGAAAGCAGAAAGTAATGGTTTTGTACCGAATACTGGAAATTGTCATGGAAAACTTTATGCTTCGTTGTATAATGGTCAATAGCCATTTCTCATGTTCTTCTTACGAAGATTTCAAATCATACACCAGTGGGGCATGATCCTTTTAACGAAACCCTGGAATCCTTACTATTGCAAATCAAATATTAGCTGACCTGGATCTGTTGGCATTGCTCCAGAAGACAGACGTGAAGAGCCCTGATTTTTCGTAACTGCATCAGTTGGAAAAATACGTTGACAATTCATTTGAAACTGGTATTCTTTTTGTATCATATATACTGATGTAGTGCGTTGCTGTGGCATGATCAGTTCATTATGCATAACTGTATGGTACTTAGATGCTATTGTGATACTGAAGGTTCTCTGCTCTTTTTTGGCTAATAGTAGACGGATCGTTTCACAACTATTTCGGTTGATTCTAATTTTGCCGGCACCTGTGCTGAGAATACACCAGATATCATCGCACAGTGAAGCAAAATATTATTGCTATCATTTTATGTGAGTTGTTTTCAAGTATAACACAAAACACTGGAAGTACCGGTCCTACAGTGCCCAACGATACAGTATGCTAACCATACAACGCTCACGAAGTTTCGTACAACATCTACTTCTCATTGGAACAATGTGTGTTAATTTACAGCATGCAGTGGCGGCTATTACAAGGACGGGCAATCCTGTACACCGTGTGGAGCTGGGTGTAGGTCAACGTGTAACACGGCAAACGGTCACTGTTCATGTAAAGCTCGCTGGACGGGAAATGGCTGCAACAGTAAGCACAGTCTTTCTATACCAATGAGAACACAACGCATTGTGGAACACTCCATGGCCAGAAGGCGATGTTCACTTATTACAGTGTCATAATATGTATGAGTGAGTGAGTTATGTTTTACGCCACTTTTAGCAATATTCACGCATTGTATCCATGTAGGGAATCAAACCCGGGCGAATGCTAGGACCACAAGAATACCCCACCGTCCCTAATCTGTATAAGTTTGGTGATGAAGTGACAAGGATGACACAATGACTGATCAATATCTGGTGTGTCCGCCATGTTGGGCGATACATGCACGACACCTTGATGGCATACTGTTGGATTAATGTGAGGTTTGGTTGTGCTTAAAGAGCTATTCCCAGCTCGGCCACGTTGTTAATAAACAATTAGAGTAATGTTATTCTAAATAAAGTGTCTGAGCATTCTTACTTGTTATATTGCTTTGACATTTCAGCTGTGATTCTTCTGAAATACACGTCCAGAATTACTAGAAAGCAGAAAGTAATGGTTTTGTACGGAATACTGCAAATTGTCATGAAAAACTTTATGCTTCGTTGTATAATGGCCAATAGCCATTTCTCATGTTCTTCTTACGAAGATGTCAAAGGATACACCAGTGGGGCATGATCCTTTTAGCGAAACCCTGGAATCCTCACTATTGCAAATCAAATATTAGCTGACCTGGATCTTTTGGCATTGCTCCAGAAGACAGACGTGAAGAGCCTAGATTTTTCGTAACTGCATCAGTTGGAAAAATACGTTGAAAATTCATTTGAAACTGGTATTCTTTTTGTATCATATATACTGATGTAGTGCGTTGCTGTGGCATGAGCAGTTCATTATGCATAACTGTATGGTACTTAAATGCTACTGTGATACTGAAGGTTCTCTGCTCTTTTCTGGCTAATAAACGGATCGTTTCACAATTATTTCGGTTGATTCTAATTTTGCCGGCACCGGTGCTGAGAATACACCAGATATCATCGCACAGTGAAGCAAAATATTATTGCTATCATTTTATGTGAGTTGTTTTCAAGTATAACACAAAACACTGGAAGTACCGGTCCTACAGTACCCAACGATACAGTATGCTAGCCATACAACGCTCACGATGTTTCGTACAAAATCTACTTCTCATTGGAAAACATTGTGTTAATTTACAGCATGCAGTGGCGGCTATTACAAGGACGGGCAATCCTGTACACCGTGTGGAGCTGGGTGTAGGTCAACGTGTAACACGGCAAACGGTCACTGTTCATGTAAAGCTCGCTGGACGGGAAATGGCTGCAACAGTAAGTACAGTCTTTCTATACCAATGAGAACACAACGTATAGTGGTACACTCCATGGCCAGAAGGCGATGTTCACTTGTTACAGTGTCATAATATGTATGAGTGATTGAGTTATGTTTTACGCCACTTTTAGCAATATTCACGCATTGTATCCATGTAGGAAATCAAACACGGGCTTTCGATGTTACAAGCGAATGCTAGGACCACAAGAATACCCCACCGTCCCTAATCTGTATAAGTTTGGTGATGAAGTGACAAGGATGACACAATGACTGATCAATATCTCGTGTGTCCGCCATGTTGGGCGATACATGCACGACACCTTGATGGCATACTGTTGAATTAATTTGCGTTTGGTTGTGCTTAAAGAGCTATCCCCAGCTTGGCCACGTTGTGAATAAACAATAAGAGCAATGTTATTCTAAATAAAGTGTCTGAGCATTCTTACTTGTTATATTGCTTTGACATTTCAGCTGTGATTCTTCTGAAATACACGTCCAGAATTACTAGAAAGCAGAAAGTAATGGTTTTGTACCGCATACTGGAAATTGTCATGGAAAACTTTATGCTTCGTTGTATAATGGTCAATAGCCATTTCTCATGTTCTTCTTACGAAGATTTCAAAGGATACACCAGTGGGGCATGATCCTTTTAGCGAAACCCTGGAATCCTCACTATTGCAAATCAAATATTAGCTGACCTGGATCTGTTGGCATTGCTCCAGAAGACAGACGTGAAGAGCCTAGATTTTTCGCAAATGCATCAGTTGGAAAAATACGTTGAAAATTCATTTGAAACTGGTATTCTTTTTGTATCATATATACTGATGTAGTGCGTTGCTGTGGCATGAGCAGTTCATTATGCATAACTGTATGGTACTTAAATGCTACTGTGATACTGAAGGTTCTCTGCTCTTTTTTGGCTAATAGTAGACGGATCGTATCACAATTATTTCGGTTGATTGTAATTTTGCCGACACCTGTGCTGAGAATACACCAGATATCATCGCACAGTGAAGCAAAATATTATTGCTATCATTTTGTTTTCAAGTATAACACAAAACACTGGAAGTACGGTCCTGCAGTGCCCAACGATACAGTATGCTAGCCATACAACGCTCACGATGTTTGGTACAAAATACTCAGTTTATCAATGATTGTCTACTTCTCATTGGAACAATTGTGTTAATTTACAGCATGCAGTGGCGGCTATTACAAGGACGGGCAATCCTGTACACCGTGTGGAGCTGGGTGTAGGTCAACGTGTAACACGGCAAACGGTCACTGTTCATGTAAAGCTCGCTGGACGGAAAATGGCTGCAACAGTAAGCACAGTCTTTCTATACCAATGAGAACACAACGCATAGTGGTACACTCCATGGCCAGAAGGCGATGTTCACTTGTTACAGTGTCATAATATGTATGAGTGAGTGAGTTATGTTTTACGCCACTTTTAGCAATATTCACGCATTGTATCCATGTAGGAAATCAAACCCGGGCTTTCGATGTTACAAGCGAATGCTAGGACCACAAGAATACTCTACCGTCCCTAATCTGTATATGTTTGGTGATGAAGTGACAAGGATGACACAATGACTGATCAATATCTGGTGTGTCCGCCATGTTGGGCGATACATGCACGACACCTTGATGGCATACTGTTGGATTAATGTGAGGTTTGGTTGTGCTTGAAGAGCAATCCCCAGCTTGGCCACGTTGTTAATAAACAATTACAGCAATGTTATTCTAAATAAAGTCTCTGAGCATTCTTACTTGTTATATTGCTTTGACATTTCAGCTGTGATTCTTCTGAAATACACGTCCAGAATAACTAGAAAGCAGAAAGTAATGGTTTTGTACGGAATACTGCAAATTGTCATGAAAAACTTTATGCTTCGTTGTATAATGGTCAATAGCCATTTCTCATGTTCTTCTTACGAAGATTTCAAAGGATACACCAGTGGGGCATGATCCTTTTAGCGAACCCCTGGAATCCTCACTATTGCAAATCAAATATTAGCTGACCTGGATCTGTTGGCATTGCTCCAGAAGACAGACGTGAAGAGCCTAGATTTTTCGCAAATGCATCAGTTGGAAAAATACGTTGAAAATTCATTTGAAACTGGTATTCTTTTTGTATCATATATACTGATGTAGTGCGTTGCTGTGGCATGAGCAGTTCATTATGCATAACTGTATGGTACTTAAATGCTACTGTGATACTGAAGGTTCTCTGCTCTTTTCTGGCTAATAAACGGATCGTTTCACAATTATTTCGGTTGATTCTAATTTTGCCGGCACCTGTGCTGAGAATACACCAGATATCATCGCACAGTGAAGCAAAATATTATTGCTATCATTTTATGTGAGTTGTTTTCAAGTATAACACAAAACACTGGAAGTCCGGTCCTGCAGTGCCCAACGATACAGTTGCTAACCATACAACGCTCACGATGTTTCGTACAAAATCTACTTCTCATTGGAACAATTGGTGTTAATTTACAGCATGCAGTGGCGGCTATTACAAGGACGGGCAATCCTGTACACCGTGTGGAGCTGGGTGTAGGTCAACGTGTAACACGGCAAACGGTCACTGTTCATGTAAAGCTGGCTGGACGGGAAATGGCTGCAACAGTAAGCACAGTCTTTCTATACCAATGAGAACACAAAGCATAGTGGTACACTCCATGGCCAGAAGGCGATGTTCACTTGTTACAGTGTCATAATATGTATGAGTGAGTGAGTTATGTTTTACGCCACTTTTGGCAATATTCACGCATTGTATCCATGTAGGGAATCAAACCCGGGCTCTCGATGTTACAAGCGAATGCTAGGACCACAAGAATACCCCACCGTCCCTAATCTGTATACGTTTGGTGATGAAGTGACAAGGATGACACAATGACTGATCAATATCTCGTGTGTCCGCCATGTTGGGCGATACATGCACGACACCTTGATGGCATACTGTTGGATTAATGTGAGGTTTGGTTGTGCTTGAAGAGCAATCCCCAGCTTGGCCACGTTGTTAATAAACAATTAGAGCAATGTTATTCTAAATAAAGTGTCTGAGCATTCTTACTTGTTATATTGCTTTGACATTTCAGCTGTGATTCTTCTGAAATACACGTCCAGAATTACTAGAAAGCAGAAAGTAATGGTTTTGTACGGAATACTGGAAATTGTCATGGAAAACTTTATGCTTCGTTGTATAATGGTCAATAGCCATTTCTCATGTTCTTCTTACGAAGATTTCAAAGGATACACCAGTGGGGCATGATCCTTTTAGCGAAACCCTGGAATCCTCACTATTGCAAATCAAATATTAGCTGACCTGGATCTTTTGGCATTGCTTCAGAAGACAGACGTGAAGAGCCTAGATTTTTCACAAATGCATCAGTTGGAAAAATACGTTGAAAATTCATTTGAAACTGGAATTCTTTTTGTATCGTATATACTGATGTAGTGCGTTGCTGTGGCATGATCAGTTCATTATGCATAACTGTATGGTACTTAAATACTATTGTGATACTGAAGGTTCTCTGCTCTTTTTGGGCTAATAGTAGACGGATCGTTTCACAACTATTTCGGTTGATTCTAATTTTGCCGGCACCTGTGCTGAGAATACACCAGATATCATCGCACAGTGAAGCAAAAAAATATTGCCATCATTTTGTGTGAGTTGTTTTCAAGTATAACACAAAACACTGGAAGTCCGGTCCTGCAGTGCCCAACGATACAGTATGCTAGCCATACAACGCTCACGATGTTTCTTACAAAATACCCAGTTTATCAATGACTGTCTTCTTCTCATTGGAACAATGTGTGTTAATTTACAGCATGCAGTGGCGGCTATTACAAGGACGGGCAATCCTGTACACCGTGTGGAGCTGGGTGTAGGTCAACGTGTAACACGGCAAACGGTCACTGTTCATGTAAAGCTCGCTGGACGGGATATGGCTGCAACAGTAAGCACAGTCTTTCTATACCAATGAGAACACAACGCATAGTGGTACACTCCATGGCCAGAAGGCGATGTTCACTTGTTACAGTGTCATAATATGTATGAGTGAGTGAGTTATGTTTTACGCCACTTTTAGCAATATTCACGCATTGTATCCATGAAGGGAATCAAACCCGGGCTTTCGATGTTACAAGCGAATGCTAGGACCACAAGAATACCCCAACGTCCCTAATCTGGATATGTTTGGTGATGAAGTGACAAGGATGACACAATGACTGATCAATATCTGGTGTGTCCGCCATGTTGGGCGATACATGCACGACACCTTGATGGCATACTGTTGGATTAATGTGAGGTTTGGTTGTGCTTGAAGAGCAATCCCCAGCTTGGCCACGTTGTTAATAAACAATTACAGCAATGTTATTCTAAATAAAGTCTCTGAGCATTCTTACTTGTTATATTGCTTTGACATTTCAGCTGTGATTCTTCTGAAATACACGTCCAGAATTACTAGAAAGCAGAAAGTAATGGTTTTGTACCGCATACTGGAAATTGTCATGGAAAACTTTATGCTTCGTTGTATAATGGTCAATAGCCATTTCTCATGAACTTCTTACGAAGATTTCAAAGGATACACCAGTGGGGCATGATCCTTTTGGCGAACCCCTGGAATCCTCACTATTGCAAATCAAATATTAGCTGACCTGGATCTGTTGGCATTGCTCCAGAAGACAGACGTGAAGAGCCTAGATTTTTCGCAAATGCATCAGTTGGAAAAATACGTTGACAATTCATTTGAAACTGGTATTCTTTTTGTATCATATATACTGATGTAGTGCGTTGTTGTGGCATGAGCAGTTCATTATGCATAACTATATGGTACTTAAATGCTACTGTGATACTGAAGGTTCTCTGCTCTTGTGTGGCTAATAGTAGACGGATCGTTTCACAACTATTTCGGTTGATTCTAATTTTGTCGGCACCTGTGCTGAGAATACACCAGATATCATCGCACAGTGAAGCAAAATATTATTGCTATCATTTTATGTGAGTTGTTTTCAAGTATAACACAAAACACTGGAAGTACGGTCCTACAGTACCCAACGATACAGTATGCTAACCATACAACGCTCACGATGTTTCGTACAAAATCTACTTCTCATTGGAAAACATTGTGTTAATTTACAGCATGCAGTGGCGGCTATTACAAGGACGGGCAATCCTGTACACCGTGTGGAGCTGGGTGTAGGTCAACGTGTAACACGGCAAACGGTCACTGTTCATGTAAAGCTGGCTGGACGGGAAATGGCTGCAACAGTAAGCACAGTCTTTCTATACCAATGAGAACACAACGCATAGTGGTACACTCCATGGCCAGAAGGCGATGTTCACTTGTTACAGTGTCATAATATGGATGAGTGATTGAGTTATGTTTTACGCCACTTTTAGCAATATTCACGCATTGTATCCATGTAGGAAATCAAACACGGGCTTTCGATGTTACAAGCGAATGCTAGGACCACAAGAATACCCCACCGTCCCTAATCTGTATAAGTTTGGTGATGAAGTGACAAGGATGACACAATGACTGATCAATATCTGGTGTGTCCGCCATGTTGGGCGATACATGCACGACACCTTGATGGCATACTGTTGAATTAATTTGCGTTTGGTTGTGCTTAAAGAGCTATCCCCAGCTTGGCCACGTTGTTAATAAACAATAAGAGCAATGTTATTCTAAATAAAGTGTCTAAGCATTCTTACTTGTTATATTGCTTTGACATTTCAGCTGTGATTCTTCTGAAATACACGTCCAGAATTACTAGAAAGCAGAAAGTAATGGTTTTGTACCGCATACTGGAAATTGTCATGGAAAACTTTATGCTTCGTTGTATAATGGTCAATAGCCATTTCTCATGTTCTTCTTACGAAGATTTCAAAGGATACACCAGTGGGGCATGATCCTTTTAGCGAAACCCTGGAATCCTCACTATTGCAAATCAAATATTAGCTGACCTGGATCTGTTGGCATTGCTCCAGAAGACAGACGTGAAGAGCCTAGATTTTTCGCAAATGCATCAGTTGGAAAAATACGTTGAAAATTCATTTGAAACTGGTATTCTTTTTGTATCATATATACTGATGTAGTGCGTTGCTGTGGCATGAGCAGTTCATTATGCATAACTGTATGGTACTTAAATGCTACTGTGATACTGAAGGTTCTCTGCTCTTTTTTGGCTAATAGTAGACGGATCGTATCACAATTATTTCGGTTGATTGTAATTTTGCCGACACCTGTGCTGAGAATACACCAGATATCATCGCACAGTGAAGCAAAATATTATTGCTATCATTTTATGTGAGTTGTTTTCAAGTATAACACAAAACACTGGAAGTCCGGTCCTGCAGTGCCCAACGATACAGTATGCTAGCCATACAACGCTCACGATGTTTGGTACAAAATACTCAGTTTATCAATGACTGTCTTCTTCTCATTGGAACAATTGTGTTAATTTACAGCATGCAGTGGCGGCTATTACAAGGACGGGCAATCCTGTACACCGTGTGGAGCTGGGTGTAGGTCAACGTGTAACACGGCAAACGGTCACTGTTCATGTAAAGCTGGCTGGACGGAAAATGGCTGCAACAGTAAGCACAGTCTTTCTATACCAATAAGAAAAACAACGCATAGTGGTACACTCCATGGCCAGAAGGCGATGTTCACTTGTTACAGTGTCATAATATGTATGAGTGATTGAGTTATGTTTTACGCCACTTTTAGCAATATTCACGCATTGTATCCCTGTAGGGAATCAAACCCGGGCTTTCGATGTTACAAGCGAATGCTAGGACCACAAGAATACTCCACCGTCCCTAATCTGTATATGTTTGGTGATGAAGTGACAAGGATGACACAATGACTGATCAATATCTGGTGTGTCCGCCATGTTGGGCGATACATGCACGACACCTTGATGGCATACTGTTGGATTAATTTGCGTTTGGTTGCGCTTGAAGAGCTATCCCCAGCTTGGCCACGTTGTGAATAAACAATAAGAGCAATGTTATTCTAAATAAGGTGTCTGAGCATTCTTACTTGTTATATTGCTTTGACATTTCAGCTATGATTCTTCTGAAATACACGTCCAGAATTACTAGAAAGCAGAAAGTAATGGTTTTGTACCGAATACTGGAAATTGTCATGGAAAACTTTATGCTTCGTTGTATAATGGTCAATAGCCATTTCTCATGTTCTTCTTACGAAGATTTCAAATAATGCACCAGTGGGGCATGATCCTTTTAGCGAAACCCTTGAATCCTCACTCATGCAAATTAAATATTAGCTGACCTGGATCTTTTGGCATTGCTCCAGAAGACAGACGTGAAGAGCCTAGATTTTTCGCAAATGCATCAGTTGGAAAAATACGTTGAAAATTCATTTGAAACTGGTATTCTTTTTGTATCATATATACTGATGTAGTGCGTTGCTGTGGCATGAGCAGTTCATTATGCATAACTGTATGGTACTTAAATGCTACTGTGATACTGAAGGTTCTCTGCTCTTTTCTGGCTAATAAACGGATCGTTTCACAATTATTTCGGTTGATTCTAATTTTGCCGGCACCTGTGCTGAGAATACACCAGATATCATCGCACAGTGAAGCAAAATATTATTGCTATCATTTTATGTGAGTTGTTTTCAAGTATAACACAAAACACTGGAAGTCCGGTCCTGCAGTGCCCAACGATACAGTTGCTAACCATACAACGCTCACGATGTTTCGTACAAAATCTACTTCTCATTGGAACAATTGGTGTTAATTTACAGCATGCAGTGGCGGCTATTACAAGGACGGGCAATCCTGTACACCGTGTGGAGCTGGGTGTAGGTCAACGTGTAACACGGCAAACGGTCACTGTTCATGTAAAGCTGGCTGGACGGGAAATGGCTGCAACAGTAAGCACAGTCTTTCTATACCAATGAGAACACAAAGCATAGTGGTACACTCCATGGCCAGAAGGCGATGTTCACTTGTTACAGTGTCATAATATGTATGAGTGAGTGAGTTATGTTTTACGCCACTTTTGGCAATATTCACGCATTGTATCCATGTAGGGAATCAAACCCGGGCTCTCGATGTTACAAGCGAATGCTAGGACCACAAGAATACCCCACCGTCCCTAATCTGTATACGTTTGGTGATGAAGTGACAAGGATGACACAATGACTGATCAATATCTCGTGTGTCCGCCATGTTGGGCGATACATGCACGACACCTTGATGGCATACTGTTGGATTAATGTGAGGTTTGGTTGTGCTTGAAGAGCAATCCCCAGCTTGGCCACGTTGTTAATAAACAATTAGAGCAATGTTATTCTAAATAAAGTGTCTGAGCATTCTTACTTGTTATATTGCTTTGACATTTCAGCTGTGATTCTTCTGAAATACACGTCCAGAATTACTAGAAAGCAGAAAGTAATGGTTTTGTACGGAATACTGGAAATTGTCATGGAAAACTTTATGCTTCGTTGTATAATGGTCAATAGCCATTTCTCATGTTCTTCTTACGAAGATTTCAAAGGATACACCAGTGGGGCATGATCCTTTTAGCGAAACCCTGGAATCCTCACTATTGCAAATCAAATATTAGCTGACCTGGATCTTTTGGCATTGCTTCAGAAGACAGACGTGAAGAGCCTAGATTTTTCACAAATGCATCAGTTGGAAAAATACGTTGAAAATTCATTTGAAACTGGAATTCTTTTTGTATCGTATATACTGATGTAGTGCGTTGCTGTGGCATGATCAGTTCATTATGCATAACTGTATGGTACTTAAATACTATTGTGATACTGAAGGTTCTCTGCTCTTTTTGGGCTAATAGTAGACGGATCGTTTCACAACTATTTCGGTTGATTCTAATTTTGCCGGCACCTGTGCTGAGAATACACCAGATATCATCGCACAGTGAAGCAAAAAAATATTGCCATCATTTTGTGTGAGTTGTTTTCAAGTATAACACAAAACACTGGAAGTCCGGTCCTGCAGTGCCCAACGATACAGTATGCTAGCCATACAACGCTCACGATGTTTCTTACAAAATACCCAGTTTATCAATGACTGTCTTCTTCTCATTGGAACAATTTGTGTTAATTTACAGCATGCAGTGGCGGCTATTACAAGGACGGGCAATCCTGTACACCGTGTGGAGCTGGGTGTAGGTCAACGTGTAACACGGCAAACGGTCACTGTTCATGTAAAGCTGGCTGGACGGGATATGGCTGCAACAGTAAGCACAGTCTTTCTATACCAATGAGAACACAACGCATAGTGGTACACTCCATGGCCAGAAGGCGATGTTCACTTGTTACAGTGTCATAATATGTATGAGTGAGTGAGTTATGTTTTACGCCACTTTTAGCAATATTCACGCATTGTATCCATGAAGGGAATCAAACCCGGGCTTTCGATGTTACAAGCGAATGCTAGGACCACAAGAATACCCCAACGTCCCTAATCTGGATATGTTTGGTGATGAAGTGACAAGGATGACACAATGACTGATCAATATCTGGTGTGTCCGCCATGTTGGGCGATACATGCACGACACCTTGATGGCATACTGTTGGATTAATGTGAGGTTTGGTTGTGCTTGAAGAGCAATCCCCAGCTTGGCCACGTTGTTAATAAACAATTACAGCAATGTTATTCTAAATAAAGTCTCTGAGCATTCTTACTTGTTATATTGCTTTGACATTTCAGCTGTGATTCTTCTGAAATACACGTCCAGAATTACTAGAAAGCAGAAAGTAATGGTTTTGTACCGCATACTGGAAATTGTCATGGAAAACTTTATGCTTCGTTGTATAATGGTCAATAGCCATTTCTCATGAACTTCTTACGAAGATTTCAAAGGATACACCAGTGGGGCATGATCCTTTTGGCGAACCCCTGGAATCCTCACTATTGCAAATCAAATATTAGCTGACCTGGATCTGTTGGCATTGCTCCAGAAGACAGACGTGAAGAGCCTAGATTTTTCGTAACTGCATCAGTTGGAAAAATACGTTGACAATTCATTTGAAACTGGTATTCTTTTTGTATCATATATACTGATGTAGTGCGTTGTTGTGGCATGAGCAGTTCATTATGCATAACTATATGGTACTTAAATGCTACTGTGATACTGAAGGTTCTCTGCTCTTGTGTGGCTAATAGTAGACGGATCGTTTCACAACTATTTCGGTTGATTCTAATTTTGTCGGCACCTGTGCTGAGAATACACCAGATATCATCGCACAGTGAAGCAAAATATTATTGCTATCATTTTATGTGAGTTGTTTTCAAGTATAACACAAAACACTGGAAGTACGGTCCTACAGTACCCAACGATACAGTATGCTAACCATACAACGCTCACGATGTTTCGTACAAAATCTACTTCTCATTGGAAAACATTGTGTTAATTTACAGCATGCAGTGGCGGCTATTACAAGGACGGGCAATCCTGTACACCGTGTGGAGCTGGGTGTAGGTCAACGTGTAACACGGCAAACGGTCACTGTTCATGTAAAGCTGGCTGGACGGGAAATGGCTGCAACAGTAAGCACAGTCTTTCTATACCAATGAGAACACAACGCATAGTGGTACACTCCATGGCCAGAAGGCGATGTTCACTTGTTACAGTGTCATAATATGGATGAGTGATTGAGTTATGTTTTACGCCACTTTTAGCAATATTCACGCATTGTATCCATGTAGGAAATCAAACACGGGCTTTCGATGTTACAAGCGAATGCTAGGACCACAAGAATACCCCACCGTCCCTCATCTGTATAAGTTTGGTGATGAAGTGACAAGGATGACACAATGACTGATCAATATCTCGTGTGTCCGCCATGTTGGGCGATACATGCACGACACCTTGATGGCATACTGTTGAATTAATTTGCGTTTGGTTGTGCTTAAAGAGCTATCCCCAGCTTGGCCACGTTGTTAATAAACAATAAGAGCAATGTTATTCTAAATAAAGTGTCTAAGCATTCTTACTTGTTATATTGCTTTGACATTTCAGCTGTGATTCTTCTGAAATACACGTCCAGAATTACTAGAAAGCAGAAAGTAATGGTTTTGTACCGCATACTGGAAATTGTCATGGAAAACTTTATGCTTCGTTGTATAATGGTCAATAGCCATTTCTCATGTTCTTCTTACGAAGATTTCAAAGGATACACCAGTGGGGCATGATCCTTTTAGCGAAACCCTGGAATCCTCACTATTGCAAATCAAATATTAGCTGACCTGGATCTGTTGGCATTGCTCCAGAAGACAGACGTGAAGAGCCTAGATTTTTCGCAAATGCATCAGTTGGAAAAATACGTTGAAAATTCATTTGAAACTGGTATTCTTTTTGTATCATATATACTGATGTAGTGCGTTGCTGTGGCATGAGCAGTTCATTATGCATAACTGTATGGTACTTAAATGCTACTGTGATACTGAAGGTTCTCTGCTCTTTTTTGGCTAATAGTAGACGGATCGTATCACAACTATTTCGGTTGATTCTAATTTTGCCGACACCTGTGCTGAGAATACACCAGATATCATCGCACAGTGAAGCAAAATATTATTGCTATCATTTTATGTGAGTTGTTTTCAAGTATAACACAAAACACTGGAAGTACGGTCCTGCAGTGCCCAACGATACAGTATGCTAGCCATACAACGCTCACGATGTTTGGTACAAAATACTCAGTTTATCAATGACTGTCTTCTTCTCATTGGAACAATTGTGTTAATTTACAGCATGCAGTGGCGGCTATTACAAGGACGGGCAATCCTGTACACCGTGTGGAGCTGGGTGTAGGTCAACGTGTAACACGGCAAACGGTCACTGTTCATGTAAAGCTGGCTGGACGGAAAATGGCTGCAACAGTAAGCACAGTCTTTCTATACCAATAAGAAAAACAACGCATAGTGGTACACTCCATGGCCAGAAGGCGATGTTCACTTGTTACAGTGTCATAATATGTATGAGTGATTGAGTTATGTTTTACGCCACTTTTAGCAATATTCACGCATTGTATCCCTGTAGGGAATCAAACCCGGGCTTTCGATGTTACAAGCGAATGCTAGGACCACAAGAATACTCCACCGTCCCTAATCTGTATATGTTTGGTGATGAAGTGACAAGGATGACACAATGACTGATCAATATCTGGTGTGTCCGCCATGTTGGGCGATACATGCACGACACCTTGATGGCATACTGTTGGATTAATTTGCGTTTGGTTGCGCTTGAAGAGCTATCCCCAGCTTGGCCACGTTGTGAATAAACAATAAGAGCAATGTTATTCTAAATAAGGTGTCTGAGCATTCTTACTTGTTATATTGCTTTGACATTTCAGCTATGATTCTTCTGAAATACACGTCCAGAATTACTAGAAAGCAGAAAGTAATGGTTTTGTACCGAATACTGGAAATTGTCATGGAAAACTTTATGCTTCGTTGTATAATGGTCAATAGCCATTTCTCATGTTCTTCTTACGAAGATTTCAAATAATGCACCAGTGGGGCATGATCCTTTTAGCGAAACCCTTGAATCCTCACTCATGCAAATTAAATATTAGCTGACCTGGATCTTTTGGCATTGCTCCAGAAGACAGACGTGAAGAGCCTAGATTTTTCGCAAATGCATCAGTTGGAAAAATACGTTGAAAATTCATTTGAAACTGGTATTCTTTTTGTATCATATATACTGATGTAATGCGTTGCTGTGGCATGAGCAGTTCATTATGCATAACTGTATGGTACTTAAATGCTACTGTGATACTGAAGGTTCTCTGCTCTTTTTTGGCTAATAGTAGACGGATCGTATCACAATTATTTCGGTTGATTGTAATTTTGCCGACACCTGTGCTGAGAATACACCAGATATCATTGCACAGTGAAGCAAAATATTATTGCTATCATTTTATGTGAGTTGTTTTCAAGTATAACACAAAACACTGGAAGTACGGTCCTGCAGTGCCCAACGATTCAGTATGCTAACCATACAACGCTCACGATGTTTCGTACAAAATACCCAGTTTATCAATGATTGTCTACTTCTCATTGGAACAATTTGTGTTAATTTACAGCATGCAGTGGCGGCTATTACAGGGACGGGCAATCCTGTACATCATGTGGAGCTGGGTGTAGGTCAACGTGTAACACGGCAAACGGTCACTGTTCATGTAAAGCTGGCTGGACGGGATATGGCTGCAACAGTAAGCACAGTCTTTCTATACCAATGAGAACACAACGCATAGTGATACACCCCATGGCCAGAAGGCGATGTTCACTTGTTACAGTGTCATAATATGTATGAGTGAGTGATTTATGTTTAACGCCACTTTTAGCAATATTCACGTATTGTATCCATGAAGGGAATCAAACCCAGGCCTTCGACATTACAAGCGAATGCTAGGACCACAAGAATACTCCACCGTTCCTAATCTGTATAAGTTTTGTGATGAAGTGACAAGGATGGAACAATGACTGATCAATATCTGGTGTGTTCGCCATGTTGGGCGATACATGCACAACACTTTGATGACATACTGTTGGATTAATTTGCGTTTGATTGCCCGCCATTCCGCTTGAAGAGCTGTCCCAAGCTCAGCCGCGTTGTGAATAAACAATTAGAGCAATGTTTTTTTCTAAATAAAGCGTCAGAGCATTTTTACTTGTTATAATGCTTTGACATTTCAGCTGTGATTCTTCTGAAATACACGTCTAGAATTACGAGAATGCAGAAAGTAATAGTTTTGTACCGTATCCTGGAAATTGTATTGGAACGCTTTTTGCAATGCCTTCATTACAAGTTACGCTCATTCCCCAGGTATGCTCATTAACAACCATCATTTCGAACAAATATATTTTTTATCGAATGTCATATAACACACAGTTCCTTTTGTCGTTAGTATGTTTCTCAACACAAAAGACCGAGAAGGTTTGCAAAACAGTTTTACATTTGTTCTATATGAGTATTACATTTGTTCATCCATCATCTTGCTTATTTAATGTTAACCTACAAACGTTGTTTTCTTTGAACTGTTGTTTATATGACGAGAGCAGATAATTCATTTAATTTAATGGCATATTACTTTCATTTTCTTCGCATTAACAGTGTCCCCTCATGAAAGGCCTATTGATAAGACCATTTGTATTTAACAGTATGTTCGCAGCAGTGAAATCCCTCGAAAAATAGACATATGCGTCTCAAAAAAGGAGAGTTCAGATCATTTTGTCATCGTCAACAAATCAATATCATATTCAATAGATTTTTTTTCATCATGTCTCTTTCCACAACAGTTAGAATGCTTTCTTTTTGAAAAACATCAACCCGTATCCTCCTCAACCTTTGGCTGTGACCTTGTATACTGGCTCGACACTTTACTTCATGCTTATTGTTCTTTTACCTCACCCTTCACCCGTGGTAACCTATGCAAGTGACAAAACCAGTTGACCAAAACCAGTTGACCAACACCAGTTTACAACACCAGCTGACAACACCAGTAAACAACACCAGCGGACAACCCCTGTTGACAACGCCAGCTGACCAACACCAGCTGACAGCACAAGTTGCCCAACATAGGCTGACCAACACCGGCCGACAACACCAGTAAACAACACTAGTTAACAACACCAGTTGACAACGCCAGTTGACAACATCAGCTGATAACACCAGCTGACCAACACCAGCTGACAACCCTTACTGACAGCTGGTCAATTGAGGCGCTGGAAAACAAATACGCCCACGTTCTCGGTTCAAGTGAAATAGGATGGCCTTGGTGACAAGGCGCGAGCTCATCTAGCCTACACATGAAGCCAGCTATCTATCAAACTTCTACTTTCCCCCACATCCCATTATTAATTTCTACCCTTAGTGAGTTAGGGCGGAAGCGCGAGTGAAAACCGGAGTATGTTTGTAACAAGGCATCTGCTCTTGTCCCAAGAGCTGTTTAAACGGTTCATAAGTTTAATGAGGGTGCACATTTAGTAATATTGTGCATATTCGGGTTTACACCTAGGTTTTAGTTTGCCTGTGACATTGATGATTGTCTTAAATGCGTTCATGATGGTGTAGTTGGTGTTATTTTGGATTGTTTTAGGAGTCTTTGAACTATCTTCCCTGCTTAGACCAGGGTAAGATGTGTCTTAAACTGAGCTCGGATCCAACAATCGGCTCATCATGTTTTGCCCTGTCTTTTCTTGACACCAAATAAGGTGTGTGTGTATATGTGTGTATGTGTGTTGGGGAGGGGGGAGTGTGTGTGTGTGTGTGTGGGGGGGGGGGGGGGGGGGTGGGGGGGCAGCGCTCTTTAAACTTTCTTCTTTCTCTATTGCTAACCTACTTTTAAAAGTTCTCGTTAAAATAAAGGGAACCCCAAAATACGAGATATCAAGGATGCTTGGATGCTGCTTGGAACCGGGGTAACATGTGTCCCCAGCACTCCAATCCTGCCGGTAATGGTCGACAAAATTGTGCAACGTTGTGGTTCAGGGTATTGGAGCCCCTAACAATGTTACTTTCGCCTTACGCACCACTTTGACATTACTACACCTGCACAGGTCTTAAAACCGGTTGGTCGTGTCTTGCTCTGTGCTTGGTAAACTTCATTTTGAAAATATGTTTATATACAACAAAGTCATAGGACTCAAGGCGGTGGATGATGGGCCAAGCTGACATTAATTATCCCCAGTTTCTAAATAAATAGAATTAAGATAACAGCCAAGGGCGAAACTGTTGAGTAGGCAGGGCTGTTTAATCTTTCTTCTTTCTTTATGCTTAACCCACTTTTCACTGGTTCTCGTTACGAAAATAAGAGAACACTTTCAATACATAGAATTGTATAACATCTGACTCAAGACATTATTAGTAGCTAAACCGACTCATATTCCGGAAACTGCCTTGAGTTGATAAGCAGAGTTGTCATCACGTGATCTGACGCTACAGCGTAGATACTACTTGCAGACGATCATTGTTTCTGTTAAGTGTAGGTTACTGGCGTTCGGCTCCAGTGTGAACATTCCGGGCTAGAATTAGTCGTCAGCAACCTATGCATGCCTTAAGATGCGACTAACAGGTTCGGGTGGTCAGGCTCGCTGACATGGCTGATGCATGTCAATTTATCCCAATTGCTTAGATGCAGGGGATTTTAACTCATGAGTAAATGGCTTCGCATTAACAGTGTCCCCTCATGAAAGGCCTATTGATAAGACCATTTGTATTTAACAGTATGTTCGCAGCAGTGAAATCCATCGAATAATAGACATATGCGTCTCAAAAAAGGAGTGTTCAGATCATTTTGTCATCGTTAACAAATCAATATCATATTCAATAGATTTTTTTTTATCATGTCTCTTTCCACAACAGTTGGAATGCTTTCTTTTTGAAAAAAACATCAACCCGTATCCTCCTCAACCTTTGGCTGTGACCTTGTATACTGGCTCGACATTTTACTTCATGCTTATTGTTCTTTTACCTCTCCCTTCACCCATGGTAACCAACACCGACTGACAACACCAGTTAACAACACCAATTAACAACACCAATTGACAACGCCAGTTGACAACACCAGTTGACTAACACCGGCTGACAACAGCAGTTGACCAACACCAGCTGACAACACCGGTTGACAACGCCAACTGACAACACCAGTTGTCAACGCCAGCTGACAATGCCAGTTGACAACACCAGCTGACAACTTTAGCTAACAACACCAGTTGACAACACTAGTTAACAACACCAGTTAACAACACCAGCGGACAACGCTAGCTGACAACGCCAGCTGACAACATTCCGGGCTAGAATTAGTCGTCAGCAACCTATGCATGCCGTAAGATGCGAATAACAGGTTCGGGTGGTCAGGCTCCCTGACATGGCTGATGTATGTCAACGTATCCCAATTGCTTAGATGCAGGGGGTGTCAATCACTTTATTGCCTGTTCCAGTATCAATTATTTTCAGACCGCTGTCATATAGCTGGAATATTGCTGCGTGCAGCGGTAAACAATCAACAAATTGACAAACGAGCGTTCGCCAAGGCATCAACAGACAGCGACGCCGATGAAAACGTAGCATTTTCTTTCAATGACTTCACACATATTCTTCCATATCAATATGAGCCCCTGATAGTCAAAGTAGTTCTGCCAGCACAAATGAAAACGAGGTACATCCATCGAGTGAAGACGACCAATCAGATGACAACAGGAAACGACTGGGGTTCACCAACTGGTTTTAAGCAGTAGCCTCACGTTTCTAAATAAAATGGATGTTTATATAATAATCATAGTTTTGTTTTCTTCGTAAGACGTATATTCTTGTTATGTCTAATTATGTCCGCTGTGCTGTCTTAACGTCAGACAAATGGCATAGGGCTAAAGCTAAATCTGATTTCTTTATATGTGACTGTTATGTATTGATTGTATTGTCTTGTTATGGTTAGTTAAGTTAATGTTGCCGTTTAAACCGTTGCAATAATATGTATTTCACTGATCAATGGAGGGATGTCAGTGTCTGGTATTTAGCTTACTAAATGCTCTCGACTAGTCTTGTCCACAACATCTGTCACAACATCGTCTCAAGAAATGTACAAAACATTCACACTTGAGAGATATAGACACAGAACATGATTGCAAAAAACATCGGTGGCGGATCCGAGTGGGGATTTGGCTTGTTAAGATATGTAATTGGGCTAGTGGTGAGATCAAGGCAGCGGTTTGTTTCTTTTGACATAACTCTGAAATCAAATATGACATTTTTAGTGTGAATATGTACTTTGTATGACTATTTAGCATGTTTTAAGACGTAGTGATTCTTTCTTGACATGAGATTATTTCTGCCTAATGCCGACCTATGATTTTCTAGAATATTTAGAATATATTAGTCATATGTACCTTAATCGACGACATGTTTTAATTCTGTATTACACTCTTGTTGGATATTTGGATATATCCAAAAATGAATCGAACTTAGTAAAAGAACGTAGTGTGAAACAAACAACAAAAAACAAATGGTATACAATTAACATTTGTATTACAAAATTGACTGTTTACAAATCAATACAAATTACTGTACAACAATTACAATGGTAGTACACAAGAGAGTGGTAGTACACTATTCAGTGACAGTATATATATATTATGATGACTATGGTCAGTGTTAAATACAAAAATACAGTGGTTATAGCAAACGCCAGTGACAGTATATTCACCAAGCGGTGACGGTGGTCAAGCTTCCGAAATGGGCCTAGACGGGGAATCCGGGGTGATCTTCACACGGAAGCTGGTCTTGATATTTCCTCGTGAATATGTGTGATGAAATGTGTGAGAGATGCGAGAGCATGCTGTTGTTCCCGTATATACCTTCTACCTAGCTTCCAGAACTTTCTACAAAAAAACTGTAAGGCTCTATACAACGCTGGACGAGTCTCGGCGTTCCCGTTGCCACACCACTCTATCTATAGTAACTTCTTGACGACTGCTTACATTAAATAGTAACATGTTTAGCCACAGACCCATACATGTATTGGTCATTATTTCTTTAATCAACAATGAACACATTACACAATGGATTTATCAAAGTGCGTTATTGCATGGAACTGTCAGCTATTGATAAACAGCCAGTTTACTTGCTATGCAAATAAATCTCAATTCAAATGTCTACATTCATTATCACCAACCAGTCTGTTCCCCTTGGACATACGGAATTAACTGTGTGCTGAAGTGCTCAAGAGGATGTGTCAACCAGACTTGTGACAGAACCACTGGACGTTGTGACATGTGTCTGGATGGATGGGAACACAAGGACCAGAACATATCAAGATGCGACAAAGGTAATCCTTGGAGCATCTACATGCGCCTTGACTATAGTGTTGATCCATACGTATATGAAGAATACAATAAATAATGGTTTTGCAACAAATCAGTCTCGCTCCGTTTGGAAAGTCAATAAGGTAAGAGCGAAAAGGGCAATAGGTAAGTGCAAAAAGGGCAATAGGTAAGTGCAAAGAGTGCAAGTAGGTAGATACATACCCGTATCTGTTGATATTTTTAAAATATTTTAATAATTCATCCAAATTGTATCGATCGTGTATGTTGAAAATGTCATATAAATATCCACTAACCAAAATAACAAAATGAAATCCACACAAAGGAGGCAACATTAAAGAACCTAAATTCTAGAATCAATGTGAGTTTCCGTCTGTGATATTAGGAGTTCGCAAAACGGGTGCATACTAACAGATTTACTAAACTGTTTCATTTTGGTTCCAGAATGTGATGATGGAAGGTACGGTGAACAGTGTAACGATGAATGTAGCATCCACTGTGCCAATGCCACGTGTCATCATGTCAATGGTTCCTGTACTCAAGGCTGTCTTGACGGAAGAAGTGGCGAATATTGTGAAGTTTCTGAAGGTAATTCTGTCATGATGTAATTCGGATTAATAAACAAAGTTATGTATAGTAGGCTGGCAACAACTCGATCACGAATTTTACAATTAAAGAGTTAGCAAGACGCAATAACGTGGTATGGACACAAATGCACACGTTGAACTATTCTCTCTGCCTGGAGGGAGGAAGGTCGATGGCTCGATATCATAACTGTTATCCTTCCTGGCCAGCAGACCCGTGAAGATCCGGGGGTTGAATAGGTCTTCAGCAACCCATGCTTGCCGTAAAAGGCGACTATGCTTGTCGTAAGAGGGACTAACGGGATCGGGTGATAAGGCCCGCTGACTTGGTTGAAGCATGTCATCGTATCCCAATTGCGTGGATCGATCCTCATGATATCAGTCATATAGATGGAATATTGCTGAGTGCGGCGTAAAACTGCAGCTGGAAGGCAAGATGATGTCTTTGAGTTGGGCATCCATGTTAAATCTGGTATATCACTAGACTTGCTATAAATACAGACTAGTGCATTCACTTCGTTATATAAGTGAAATAAACTGAACGCGACGTTAAACCCAATTTCACCTTGCCCAGCCCACCAACTAGATCATCATGAGTTTAGTATCATGTTCTGCAGGAAAGTGATATATAGAGGTATATCTCGCGAGTGTGTTTGGGGATGGTAAATATCCTGCATTAGGAATAAACATTGTATTTAGCGAGCCTTGGCGAGCTAAATACATAGTGTTTTTTTCCTAATACAGGATATTTACCATCCCCAAACACACAAGCGTGATAACCTCTTTATCATATAATGTTACTCTTTAATTCTGTGCTTCAAATTCGCTTTCCCTCTCTCACAAACATTACCGAAACATTGCGAGTTTTCGTGGAATGTGCGCATTAATATTTACTACGTCATAGGGTAAGTGATGTGTCAGTCGGACAGTGACAGTAGCCAATATAGTTCCAACCGAAATCTGTTTCTTATAGGTGGCGAAGCAACATATACGCAAAACAACAATTGTTTTTAATTGCCTTTCGCGGCAATCCATCGGTCTGTCCGCTAGAGTAACTGCCCGTTGTCAAAGGGAAGCTACTCTATCCCTAGTCTATGAGACGTCACGGCCACGGTCAGACGTTGTTGACAGTAGGTCGATCCTATCATAACGTTAAGAAGTGTAGTCAGATGTACACGCAGCAACAAAACGAAATAAGGTAACAATTCAAACATATTTCGGCCAAATCCAACTATTTTAATTTGTTGAGTAGGTGTCAAGCCGCAGAGGTCTACAAGCACATCTATGGCTACTGATCCCGCTTGGCTAGGCCTCGTGTCCTCGCAAATTTGTATCGAAATTTATATCTCCAAAGTTGCCAAAACTTATAAAATGCCTTAGCTACGTCACAGTTAGACACTGATTTATAGTATATTAGACTGGTTTTTTTATAATGATAGCAATTATCCCTGTAGTTTATCCAGATTCCCGATGGTTAATTCTGACCCGATCGCCATGTTTGTTTATAAACTGTGAAAGTATTCCCTACTTGACCTTTGATATTTGCATCTCTATCCGCATATGACCCTAACGGATATCGTTTTTATCCGTTGGCTTTATCCTGCCGAGATTGCAGTCATTTTCTATGAGCACATGTTGCTATTATTTCACTAAGTGATCTATTTTGAAGAAGGGCCATTGCAGTCGTAGAGCTCCTTTTCGCCTTGTAACCTTGCAGATAGTTTGTACCACAGATTTATCATGTATATGTTTTAGATCTGCTTTCTTTAGACATTTATATTTAATTAAATGTTTTTATACCTAGTTGCTTGGTATTTCCATTTCCATATTTCCTGAATACTCCCATCCGTCGTCATCCCATAAAACATCATCATAACATGACTATCAGTATTGACACTATTCCCGTAATGTTGTTACCTCCTCTGTTGTACATGCACACCTATTACCTGTTATCTTTTTCGATTGCAGCCGAACACCAGGGTGTAAACCTCATCGTTGGACTTGTTCTCTTACTAATTGCTGTTATAGCAGTTGTAATATGTGCTGTTGTCTACTTTCGGTGAGATGTTGTTTTCTTCTTATTTGCAAGGACATTACCCCTACCACAACCAATTAAAGAAATCAAACTCTAAGATGAGATACAGATCTTTATTTGAGCAGTCGGTAGTTTTACTCTTGAATGTGATATTTAACTGAAATGTTAGTGATTTTCAGCATTGCTTTTGTTGTATTGGCATACATTTGGTAATATTATAGACATTTCTCGCAGCGAATGATTGGTGAAGAGATAAGCAATAATCACTCACTCATTCTCAACCAATCAACCAACTTAAAGACCTCTTATAACTACCGAAAGATAGTGCAGCTATCAAGTATTGAACATTCATTTCATCAATGATGAAATCAAAGCAAATGCATAGACACAAATGAATATCTGAGTTTGACAGTAAGAATCTTGAAGTGAAATGTTCTACATATAACAACCCACAGCTTATCTGTAAATATCTTTGTTTTTCTTTAGAGAGCCGTTGAGAAGATTAAGAGGAAAAAGTAAGTAAAAGCTGAATCAACGTGTATGTGTACTGTCATAAGTTACTTGCAATAGTAACTTTTGATAATTTATTCATGTCTGATTAACTTTCAAATGGTTCTTGTTTCAATTGTTGACATGAATGTTTGGTATGGTGGTCTAGATCGGTTAGCTTCACATGTAGTTGTTGGTACCGGACTATTGCTATCCTGTTTTCAGAGACTGGGGAAGACATGACTAACGGTTTGAGCTTCCCTATGGCAGCCCGGGAAGGCCAGGGTGCATCGGAAAACGGAGCCGTCAACGACGATGACGAGGCTATCTATATCAATGTTCCCAGAAGTGTTCCAGTGGCAGTCAGTGACCTCAAGGACTTCGTTGCAAAGAAGAAAGCCACAAAAGAAATCTTGGTGAAAGAGTATGCTGTACGTATTGTGAAGGTCTTGATGGACCCATGTCGCTGAAACTTGGCTATCCTCCTTCTAAGGATCAAAGGCCTGATTTTGTTATTCGTGAGGAATTTACTAAATCTTATATGTCTCATGTCTACATGATGCACGAAGCAGTTCCATTCATTTTACATTAATGTACCCTTTACATCGAGTTTTCACACGTCCTTACCAACTGCCACTTACGTTTTAAAGAAACTGTTGTGGGTGCTACCGGTATAGCAGGACATACTTTTCCCGAACACCTGGTGTCATCACTAATTTAAGTGATCAATTCTTATATTTTTCATCACTAGTGGGCCTTTTGGGCCTCATGGAATATGTTCTGGCAGATATTCGAAACTGACGTTGCTCTGGTGTTGAATTTACAGGAGCTCCCCAAAGGTCTGACAGCAATTCACGACAAAGCACTGACGCAAGTGAACAGTCCAAAGAATCGATTTAAAGGCATTTACCCGTGTAAGGCAAAGGCTTATACCTTTCACGACATCTATCGATATATAACGTTGACGTAAAATATAGTTATTGTACTGTGCATCCACCACAGGCTTTTTATCCAGTCTAAATATATCTATTATTAATGTACAACTTCTCGTCACGATATGGCAGAAATATTGCCAATGTGACTTGGAATGTAAACTCACTCACTAATGTCGTAAAACATGAGTGTGTCTGTGATATATTTGTATAAAAGTATAAATATAAAGTATGTTCATAATTCTATTAAATTTTGTTTCACCGAAACACTGGGAAACAGTACCGTGTCTTATTCATTTTGTTCATGTTGTCAAAAGATTTGTTCTGATTTTGGTTCGCCTTGTAGTCTTTGGTGTGAGTTTTCATGTTTCTGAGCGGATTCATAAAGCTGTTTTGCTTCTACAAAATGTAAAAAATGACTTTGGAGGAATTGGAGTATTTATTGTAACAAGGGACTGACATCGTTGAATAGCACCCCTATACAGGTACACACTATTTTGTAAATGTACTTGTTGCTTGATAACTACCTATGATGTATCGGCGACAGGTGTCTTTTGATGCAGTTTTGTATACCTGAATGCATACATTTACTGATTAGAAAGACTTGATTTGTTTTAAGACAACCACTCTCTGGTCGTGCTGAAAGGCCCGAGTGGAAGCAGTGGCTACATAAACGCCAGCTTCATTGATGTAAGTTCAAGAGATTCAGTTACATGATATTTGGGATACATAAAGAAGGACTTCATTAGAGACTCTAAATGTGAACATGTCTGTGAGTTTGTTAAGCCATCCACACAGTAAACTTGATGTGTAGATCCATTACACTTTATAACCCACTAAGTGTTTAAGGAAGAATGATTCAATTAAGGTTTCTTGTTTTGCAGGGACCAACAAGGGGAAAAAAGTACATTGCAACACAGGGTAAACAAACTTTTAGACGTCAAAGTCTGCAAACGTGCATATGCCTTACGTACGACAACCTTCAATAAATAATTAACAATACTGAGCGCAGTGAAGTATACTGATATTCAACCCATGAGATGATGAGGTGAGGTTAGGTGAAATTTGGTTTAACGTCGCGTCCAAGATAATTGCACTTATATAGAGATATCGTTCGGGACTTACAATAATTCTGACACTTCTTTCGTAAAATCAGTATGGGGGCGGTCGGGTAGACTAATCGTTAAGCGTTCGCTCGTCACGCCGAAGACCCGGTTCGATTCCAATGAGTAAAATGAGTGAAGCCCTTTTCTCGTGCCCCCTGCCGTGATATTGCTGGAATAGTGCTTAAAGCGGCTAAAAACATACTGACTCACTCACTCACTTTTCTCGTATAATAATGTATATATCTAAGTTAACATATGGCCATCTCATTGGAACCACCTCTTTGGTCTAGTGGTAGAGCGTTCGCCCGGAGAGTGGAAGGTCCGGGGTTCGATCCCCGGTCGCGTCATACCAAAAGACGTTTAAAGATGTTGTTACCCTGTCTGGCGCTCGGCAATAAGGGGTTAAAACAAAGACCGGTCGGCTCGGGGTCAGTATACTGTGTCTGAGTGGGGTATTTATGTTAAACTGCGGCATGGTATCTCAGTGTGCTAGCACTATAAATCTGCATCAGTCCGGACTAGTACAAGGAGCCACACACACACACACACACACACACACACACACACACACACACACACACACACACACACACGTCGCTATGCATACACGTCGCTATAAGTGCAATAATCTTGGACACTACGTTAAACCCCATATCACCTCACCTTATTCCACCCCTGATGAAGTCATGTTTACTCAACTATCCCTTATGGCGCCAGGGCCCCTGCCTCACACCGTCGTGGACTTCTGGGAGATGATCTGGCAACAGAACGTGCCTGTCATCGTCATGCTGGCCAATATCATTGAAGATGGAAGGGTGATGTCTAATTTTGATATGACTTGATGACCTTATGATGTGATAAATGAATTAATCATCATTTAATATACTCAACATGCTACTCTTCGTAATCATTATGCTTATCCAAATATACACAGCCTTTTAAAACTGAAATGAAATAAATGTAGAGCAGAACAAGCATATCCTTTTCGTAGACACCTGGTGTCATCACTGATTTTCAATGATTAGTTCATATACTTTTCATCACTATTTCTTTTCTTCTATGGCCCATGGAGCTGTTTTGGTAAATATTCGAGTACGGTGTTGATGTTTTTAAATTTACCATCTACGAATGTCCCCTGTATAACAGAGACGGTGTGAGCCGTACTGGCCCAATGAACCAGGCGAGGATTCCAAGACGTTCGGCCCCTGGAAGATCACAGTAGCTGACTCCTGTCCCCTTGCTGACTTAACCATCAGGACGCTTAAAATGAGGAAGGTGGGATTGACAATTTCAATTAGTTAATAAAGCGAAGGTAGTGAATTAGTCCATGACCGTTCCTTCCAGTTTCACCGCTCCGTGGTGCAGCGAATAGAGCGTCTGCCCGGAGAGGTCGGTGGTTCGATCCCCGGCCGCGTCATTCCAAAAGACGTTAAAAGATGGTACGTGGTGTTACCCTGTCTGGCGATCGGCATTAAGGAGCTAAAACAAGGACTGGTCGGCTGGGAGTAAGTGCACTGTGTCTGAGCGGGGTATCAATGTTACACTGTACCATGGTATCTCGGTGGACTCAGTGGACTCAGTGGACAAACCCTCGTCGCGACATAAGTGCAATAGTGACCGTTAAACTCCAATTCACCTCACATCCTTCTAGTTGTTGTTTGGGTATGGATAGACTATGTACCGAAGCCCTCCATTAATTTTGACCAAGGACCCTACAAAAACAATTGGCGGTCTAGTTTGACAATTGTCACTCTTCTGAGAACTATTAGTCCCTGCTTACAACTATTGCCGATATATAGTTATGGATATTTGTTAAGGTTTAAGCTGGACTTATATGAATAAGCATATCTTCCACAGGGAGCGGTGGAGAAGACCGTGAAACATGTTCACTACATGGTGTGGCCTGACAAGGATGTGCCAGACAACACCATGTCTCTGGTGGACCTCAGGAACAAAGTCAGGACCTTCTGTGACTTTGCGGAAGGTCCCATGGTGGTACACTGCAGGTACAGTCACAAGTGGTGTGCAGTGCAGTGAGTGAGTGACTGAGTTCAAATGTAACGTCGCATCGGCAAAATTCCAGCCATACCGTGACGGGAACAAGTGATGCATCATTAATCACTACGTTAAGACTGAATAAAACCTGTGTGAAGCCCATTTCTGGTATCCCCCACCGTGATATTGCTAGAATATTGCTTAAAGCGGCATAAAACCAGACTCACTCACTCACTGTCGTCGATGGACAGTACAGTTACTAGATTATATTTATAACTAGTTTGAGAGTGTCTAAATGCATAAAATTGTATTCAACAACGCATCAAGAAAACGAGCTAGAAAAACGGATGCCAGCAAAAACCAAAGTAATAGGACGGAGTGTATAGAAGAGTGTATATGTTGGCAACGGGATGTTGGCAATAACACCGGCTTGGATATATTCCAGTGCCATGTTCATGACCCAACATTTGTGATGTTTGTGTTCATAGCGCGTCATTGAACTGTGATTGCATGTATTCTTTAAAACGGTTTGTCAGATAAAGTACTTTTCAATATTAGTACAGACACGAAAGGATCCTGGTTAGAATAGGTCTTCTTCGGGCTCGCTAACTTGGTTGATGCATTACATCGCATCTCAATTGCGTGGATCGATGCTCATGATATCAATCACTGGATTGTCTGGTTCAGACTCGATTATTTAAAGATCGCCGTCTTTGCTAAGTGCGGCGTTAAACAACAAACAATCAATACCAGTACAGCTGACAGAGAATACCACGTTGTGTCTGTTCACATTTAATACTGATGTGTCGTGTATGTATAAATAGCCCAATGCCCTTAACCTTCTACATAGACCACCCGGGGTATCTTCTTTATATATTGGTGAGTATATGTCAATATCAGCTAGATGTAAACAGGCGTGGTAATGTTATAACTTCTTTGTTCCCTGTCCAGTGCTGGCGTAGGCAGGACAGGAACTTTGATTGCTCTGGACTCTCTGATACAAGACGCAGAGACCCGCAGCAAGGTGGACATATACGGCTGTGTCTGGCGGCTGAGGAACTTCAGAGTCAGCATGGTGCAGACACAGGTCAGTAGATACAGGGAAGCCTCACCAGGAAGGGGAAACAAGGGTTTTTAGACAAACAAAGGAAATAACATCTCAACAAGCAGGATTGTGTCATCAATGGTATTGCAGTGATGTTTATGTGAAATAATTTGAGATAGTAATTTGGGAGGAGGGGGGATCAGACGTATCAGATCAGGCAGGGTATGAAAGTTAATGAGTGATCGAGGTTTAATGTCACTTTAAATATAATTTTGTTCTAAGATAGGTTGTTGAATGCCAGAGGAACGCAGGTCTAAGTCGTTTACTTTGATGATTCTAACAATCATTGGAATGGTGTTGAGAGAATAGTCAATATAGGATTGAATACGATTTCTGTGTTTCTAAGCAGCTAAGATATGAAATTCTGCACAGTAAATCTCTGTAAGAAGTTTTATTGTGCGAGGTTTTATTGTTTGTTTAGATGTCAGAGTTTACTTTAAGGCGTCTTTTTAAATACTCGGATAATTTATTTTTTGATGTTTACACACGTGACTTTAATGTCATATTGTTTGCATATATGCCATAGTCCCAGTATGTGTTCCTGCACGACTGCATCCTGGACGCTCTGTGTCATACAGTGCACCCCACACCCGCCAGTTTCTATGACAACGCTTATAAACAGCTAAAGGGAGGCTCTGGCATTGCTGTTGCCTATCAGGTGAGTGCTATGTGCCTCAAGTTAACCTTGAAATGATACAATAGTTGTACATAAACATGTGATAACATTGTGTGAACTTGCTGATTATGTGTTATATCCCCAATACTCAGAGCATTGCTCCTGATATCAAATGTTTCTGTTTGGTATTAGTGCTGGTTGTGCATTAACTACTTCCACCTGTTCACTCCAGAAACTCAGCGAGTGTCCTGTGACAGATCATCTGAGTGACGCTGCCAGAGACCTGGAGAACATCAACAAAAACAGGAGCGAGGAGATTCTTCCTGGTAGGTTTCGTCGTGCCAGACTCATGGCGGGATAGGGTAAGACTGGAATCTCGCTATAATGAAAGAGATAGCAACCAGTCACATCCGTAACCTATAGGTAAATAGGTACTGCATGAGGAGGTACTTTGATGGACTTCTTTGATGGAGTCGGTTGCTAATTAATTTTCTACATAATCCTCTCCATGGTTCACACACTTTTGTCAACGATGCCAGACTGACAGGATCCAACTGGTGTAGAAGGCTTCCTCCTGGAAGTGTAAAATGCCCTTTCGAAGCCGAAATGGAGTAATGATTGTTTGCCAAACAGTGCTAAATGAGGTGAATACAGAGGATGTTCAAAACGTTCGAAACCACAGTCATACATTGCCGCCATTGCGACAACAAACTTCGCACAGGTGCACTGTCCTGGTGAAACAACACTCTTTTAGTGAGTTTGTCACTACGTTTTGTCTTGATATTCTCACGCAATTGCTTTAGCAGATAAGAATAATAGTCACGGGAGATAGTCCACCAGTAGGATTTCTTCAGAATCCCAGAAGCCCCGAGCCATCCCGTTGCCTGTTGATGACACAGGCTTTGCCTTCTTATCAGGAGTTGGCGTTAGCTGTTTCCACACAAATTACCACGAGAGATAATAAACCTGGAACATTTCTGATCAGAAGACGGAAGCCTTGGCAGCCAGCGTGCTGAAATTTTTGCAATGTCTAGATTATTGCTCGGACTATTTTTGACAACAGTTTTGTCAACAGAGAATATCTAGTCATTTTGATGAGTGCATAATATGTTACTTTGCTGTATATTTGGTACACATACAGCCTGTAAGCATGGAACGTATTGTAGATGCAAATTTTAAGTGTGTACTCTACATCCTTCGAAGTTCGGCTCACATACTTTTCAGGCTGGTATTGTACTGTAAGTATGGTGTCGGCAAAAACAACTACATATTATGTCGATGCAAAAAGAGACAAGACACAAAGAGTATGAACGCCCATGTATGAAAAGGTTAAATATGAAAAGTACTGTCCATCTTTAAGTGTATCGCTTTTCTTACAGGAGACAAACATCGCGCTATTCTCTCAACCCATATTGCAGGAGGCACTGACTACATCAACGCCGTCATCGCACCGGTAATTGTCCCCAACATGTATCACATGTTCTTTAAACGTTTATTCAATATGATAAATATTTATTTGATATATGTTGTCATAGAAATTATGAACAATTTGGATCCTTTCATATTTTCTTAGCCAGTATTTCCGTTATCAAATATAATTGATATTGTTATTTCTTATACATATCCCAATATTATTCATATTTCAGTCGTATGAGAAGCGGGAGGCTTTTATCCTCACTCAAATCCCCCTGACGTCGACGGTGGTTGACTTCTGGCGTCTGGTCCACGACTACGACATCCGTGGCATTGTCCTGCTGGAGAACTACACCGACTTGGACGCAGTGAGTCTCGGCGTCAGGGTGTAAAACAATAACACAATACAATTTGAATACAACCTGATAATTGATAGGCATTACTTAGAAGTTGACGGGTGACAAGGTAGACACAGATTTATGGATAACAACTTAACAGTATTAAAGAAGTTGTTTTCATAAAATTGTGTCTACCTTGTAACCTGATAATAAAATCCAATTTCTAATCTGAAGGAAGGACATACACACTTTTAAGCAAATAATGTTTTACCTTTTCAATATACACGTGAAATGTTTTACGTGTGAGTCACTTAGAAATCGTGACATAAATATATCTTATTTGTTTTAGTTTATTACCAACAATTATCCATTTTTTTTGATGTTATGAAATCAGAAGTGTGGCGTGTTCTGGGCCAAGGACAACAAGCCGGCCAAGTTTGGCCCCTTCAGCGTAGGTGAAGGCAAGACTGAGAAACAGACCGGCTTTACCATGGAGAAGATCTCCTACAGTCTGGGGGTAGGTATAAAGGACACTGATGGCTTTCGCACGTACACATGTGAAAGTATTATTCATAGATGAGGCATTGCCGCTTGTGAGTATTATTAGAGTGAGTGAGTGAGTGAGGTTTTACGCCGCTTTTAGCAATATTCAAGCAATATCACGGCGGAGGACACCAGAAATGGGCTTCACACATTGTACCCATGTCGGGAATCGAACCCGGGTCTTCGGCGTGACGAGCTAACGCTTTAACCACTAGGCTACCCGACCGCCCCGAGTATTATTAGAGAGATGTACCACTAGAGTTATAGAATGGTACTCATTCACGATCACAGATGACCAAGGAGTCTCTTATACACAAGGAGGTGGGTTATATTTCATTACATTATAGTGGGACGTGATATATCAAGATAGTATATATACTAGGATGTGGGTTATATTTCATTAAATTGTGGTGGGACGTGATATATCAAGGTAGTATATATACCAGGAGGTGGTTTATATTTCATTACATAGTAGTGGGACGTGATATATGAAGGTAGTATATATACTAGGAGGTGGGTTATATTTCATTATATTGTTGTGGGAAGTGATATATCAAGGTAGTATATATATTAGGAGATGGGTTATATTTCACTACATTGTCGTGGGAAGTGATATATATCAAGATATCAAGAGGTTGGTCACATGACCGCGAAATTGACGTTAATAAGTGTATGAACGACACAATTTGACGTTCATACGTTTTTCACGAGACCGTGTTCTTGAATGGCGTAAACACTGACGGACTACTTCCACTTTCCTGGGGAAACCAGCATGAAAACATACATAAGCGTTCTTTCTGATCACTTGGAACCTTTATTCTTGTTCTCAGCGTTTCAGTATACATTGAGAAATGTCAGAGAACTTGATACCTTGATTGTTCACGAATAACCGCCTAATGCCAATCCTAATGAATGAGTAAGTGAGTTTTATATGCCGCTTTTAGCAATATTCCAGCAATATCACGGCGGGGGACCCCAGAAATGGGCTTCACACATTGTACCCATGTCGGGAATCGAACCCGGGTCTTCGGCGTGACGAGCGAACGCTTTAACCACCAGGCTACCCGACCGCCCCCAATCCTAATGACCAAGCAAAGAAATGCACATCCAAACTATCGTAGTATCGGCTCGATCCGTGTCTGGCTGACAGTGACAGTGTCAGTTAGACGCATCTTAAATCACCTTTCAATGATCGGCCAGTTGATCAATGATGACGTCGACTAACACATGTAACCGCCACAGGTTCATTAACAACTTCGGAAATCTCTCCCGTCACGATTATCATGTCGGCCATTTTGAAGTCATGTACTTGACGTAAATGTCTTACGACGCGCTCCGACGTTCATACAGTTTGGCCCTCACTCTATGAAGGTTCATGCTCTAATGAACTAACACAAAGTGAAGGTCAATTCTTAATTTCATTGTAGTGGGAAGTGATATATCAAGGTAGTAAATATACTAGGAGTTGGGTTATATTTCACTACATTGTGGTGGGAAGTGATATATCAAGGTAGTACATATACTAGGAGGTGGGTTATATTTCACTACATTGTAGTGGGAAGTGATATATCAAGATATAGATGATATCAGTAAGGGATCAGAAACACTTCTGTTAATCTCGGGAAGGTTCGGTCGTCTCATGGTTGAAGCGTTGAATTGTCAGACTGATGACACGGGTACGATTCCCCTCATGGTGTTATGGCGTCAGCAACAGTGACATGGTTTAGATAGTGCTAAATACGGCGTAAGCTATTCAGCTATAGCTGCAAAAAACAGATATTGTTTTAATTAAAACTACGAGCCAAAATATTTGTGTCCTTGTGGAAGACAATTTATTTTTTCAACAATATGAAGCATATTATTTTCTTTCAAGAACTTAAGAGGACAATATATGTTTTTTGATACAATCACAGGGCCCCTCCGCAGAATATCAAATGGTCGGACACTAAAACAATGTCTCCAGTTCACACTGAATCACACTACATTTGTCAACCATACGGGATATTAGATACATGTTATACATTAGTGTTGTGTGTGAATTGATAATGAGGGCATACTGTTTCTGTTCAAGCGTTATAGTTGCTTGCTCTCATATGCATAAGTAATCCTATGATGAGAATAGTATATTGGCATCACTGTGACATGCCAAAACTACTAGTATTACACTTTCACTGTATCATTGTAAACGACGCGAGCCACAGCGCACGGTTTGTCTGGGGATATATTGTGTATGCAATTTGGAAACGTATAATGGAAAATGTATTAAGCGATATATCGCATCGAACAATGAAGAACGAAGCGTGGTTTATGTAGAGGGGAATGTTCAAGTAACTCTCCATTCCTTGAAAAAATAATCGACCATTATCTTAAGGAATGGAGAGTTACGAGGATATTCCTCTCCCTAAAACTCATTACACTTTCATAAAATATTCTGTTGTGGAAAATATTTGAAAAATAAACCAGAATGCTTTGTTGTCTGTATTTATACTGCGTGAGTCGCCCTTGCGTGATGCACGAAGAATGCGTTCTCTAGCGCTGTTGCACGTGCGCCAAGCTTCGTCGCGAGCTGACATTTACAATGCATGGTACACGGCTTTTCATAATTTTGTTGGGTCCTAAACTAGTATTTATCGATTGCTTGCATATTGTCAATACATGCTGACGGGAATAATAGGAAATATAGAGCCCCGAACAAGGATATATATATTACCTGTTTTGTATTTCTCGTCAAAGGTTTATCTTATTACTGTAAATATGAACACTGTTGTAGGTAGCCTGCTCTAACACAATATTATATACATATTATTTTGAGCTTTTTAGCGGTTTGCAAAATTATGAAAATATTTAATAGTTAATTTCACACGATTCCTTCATGTGCCACCGCAGCTGAGGTTGAAAATTACACGATATCAGATCAAACGACGCGGGTTCGAATCCCACTGGGGAAACATGTTTTCGGAAAGAAATTGAAATAATTTACTGTTCTGTCCTAAGTGGAAATTAATTCGAATTTTGGTTCAAGAATAATGTATAGTTGACAAACAACTCTCCATTCCCGAAAAGTAATGGAGCGTTCAAACAATAGAATTACGTCACAGATGTGTTTTAATTCGCGATAAAACATTGTTCTATCATGACGTCATTTCTGGAGATTCGAATATGCGCTCGCAACAAGATAACGTCATATATTGGACGACGTTATTTTCAGTGGGTTCCAAGTGACTAGTAAGTTGTTCCCCATATATGTAGCTGGTCTACGCAGATAAACACGTAAAGCGGGAGAGATATAACAATCGGTATTGGGAGAAAAGGTACAGATAATCGACGTGAGAACTACCCAACTTAACCCACCTGTTCGTAAAATAGACTTGACCGACATATCCGAATTATATTTGGGGAGTCATCATTATTAAAATTTGGGTAAATATTTTTAAAGCTTGTACAATTTATCGTCACCCTTAAAGAAGTTGTACCTGGTGTTGATATCTCATATATATATATATGACTCGTGGTCATTGTTTATCGTACAATAAAACCTTGCAGGGAGATTAATCCACTCGACGTTGCATCCCTCATGGCTTATTCACCCTGCAGTGTTTTATTGTAAGATAAACAACTCCCACTCGTGGGTTTTTTCCTAAATATAGTTCATGTGTGGAATGCTAAGTGGAACATTAACACTGCCACTTGAACATAGCTATTGTCTACATTAACGAGACAATAAAATCTCCAAGTACAAAATATAATTATTTTGTCAAGTATTTCATAATGTATATTAACGATGATGAATGACAGATGCTGAAATTACAGAATATTATCACGTGACAAGGATATCCACAAGGAATATGACGGTTTCAAATCAACAAGGAAGCATGTCTCTGACTGATGAAACTGAAACGCGGTGATTGTCGTGTCAACAATAATATACATCCTTGTGCAATTAAGTATGCATGACTTACTGGTTAATCGAGACTCGTTATGTTTTGGTGGTATATTTACAAGTAGGTGCAGGAATTCTACACCAATTCAACAAGGAAGCTTGTGCGATGGATGGTAGTAACTGATCGGTCGTGCCGATATCAAAGAGGAAACTAGGTTTGGTGATGGAGGATAGTAATGTGAACCAAGCTTGTACAATTTCACAACCAACACACAAACACACACACATGCTGTGTTGATCACGTTGTTCCTGCTATGTGTTCCTTGTTCCCTTGTAAACTTGATCATGTTCTACATTCCCATGTAGAACACTGTAGCCAACAAAGCATTATGTTCACCAGATGTTAGCCGGTCTGATGACGTGCGGTGATCAGATGTATTTTGTCTGTCGACACTAGTGTTACTTGTTAATCTGATACACCGGTTTATGTTCATAGACGTCACTTTCTATTTGGTTATGTATTTAGTATTTAATGCAGTTGCAATCTAGTGATATAGACATGTGAAATACTAAACTCGAAAAGGCGGTGACATGTTCGTGACAATCTTCTAATTACATGCGAAAACATCAATTACCACAACACTGGAATGCTGAATGACACATGTACAACTTTGTAGAGACATACATTCTGTTTTTGTACACGTTTCTCATTACCATAATGCTAATATGTCCTCACACATATATTTCAGTGTAACATTAAGCGTCTGGTTGCTTCTAAGTAGCTATATCCATGAGGGCTTTTCTTTCTATTTTGACTTGGGCGGTAACTTATAACCGGCGTATGATGATTGTGTGTTTGTTGTTAAACGCCCAATCCCAACTTATGTGTATGTCGACAAGACACAAATCAGTGATTGGTATTATGAGCAGATCTGAAGGGCTTTTGTTTCTATGTTGACCTTGGCGGTAACTTATAACTGGCGTTTGATGATTGTGTGTTTGTTGTTTTACGCCTAACACCAACTTAGATTTATGTTGTTGGTTGTTTGGTTGGTTGGTTTGTTGTTTAACGCCGCACTCAGCAATATTCCAGCTTTATGACGGCGCCCTGTAAAATAACCGAGTCTGGACCAGACAATCCAGTGATTGACCTCATGAGCATATCGATCCACGCAATTGGGATCGATGACATGCATCAACCAAGACAGCGAGCCTGATCACCCGATCCCAATAGTTGCCTTTTACGACAAGCATAGACGCCTTTTATGGCAAGTATTGGTTGCTGAAGACCTATTCTACCCCGGAATCTTCACGGGGCTTATATTTATGTGGACAAGACACAAATTAGTGATTGGTATTATGAGCAGATCTGAAAGGCTTATGTTTCTATTTTGATTTGGACGGCAACTTATAACTTGCGTGTGATGATTGTGTGTTGCTTTTTTAACGCCGAACTTCAGCTTATATTTATGTGGACAAGGCACAAATCAGTGATTGGTATTACGAGCAACATCCGTCGTACAACACGCAAACCAAGTGGCAAACACACGCACGCACGCACGCACACACGCACACACACACACACACACGCACGCACGCACACACGATATATTTGGCAGCCTTGTACATATTTCAACCTGGAATTACGTATGAACACTTACACGCACGCACGCACGCACGCACGCACGCACGCACGCACGCACGCACACACACACACGGGGAAAAAAGTAAAACGTAGAGACTGTCTCATCAAACTATACTGTATTCCTTTTTTCTAATGACATGTGCACGGAGTGGGATGTGTCCCCATGTGGTTTCAATGTGCGAGCTCGCCGATGGTTTGTCATCACTGCGTGGGACGTTGTTCTTGATCTCTATCACTGGTGTACCTTGCTAGGGACTCTATTATATACAGACCACCGTCACAAAGCAGGAATGCGTGTATTACTGACCCCAGCGCGCATCAACTGACTATCCCACTTAGATCAATATGGGTTTGTTTCTTCACGCAGACCGAAGAAAAAGACGTAACCGTGTTCCGGTCTTCCGCCTGGCCTCAGAAGAGTTCACTTCCGGAATCCCCATCTAGCCTCCTGAGCTTAATCGACTTTCTCAGACAGTGGAACACCGGGACATCACCCCTCCTAGTTGTCTGCAGGTACTTATAGGCTACACATTCATCCGCAACAGCATTCTATATCTCCTTTTGTTTTCAGTCATCACCTGGCGTATATTTATAACTGACATGGTACCTTCTTCTGTTGCAGCGACGGTGCCACCCGAAGCGGTCTGTTCTGTGTAGTGGCCAGTGCAGTGCAGCGACTGCTGTTAGAGAAAGAAGTTGCCCTCCAGCAGACGATACGCAGCATACGTTTTGTCAGAAAACAGGTTATTCCTAACCAGGTATGGTGTTGCGTTCATTCAACAAGTTTATTAAGATAATCAATTATAGATTACTATTTGGATCATATACATTGACACACATGGACATTTTTTCGAGTTACCCGTGGTTCGAGACAGGCGTAGTGGCGATGTGAACTTTTTGTACTCATGCATATTCTGCCAGAACCACAAAGTTGTATCGTCAAGTTAACATTTGTCATCACCATTCCCCTTCTGATGTATTTTTGTCACCAGTGGGGTATACTGCTAAGACCTGAGTCACTTAATTCTTGCTTTCCGAAAGCAGACACGCCGGTTAAACTGAAATACTATATACAGGGGCGTTAAATTAAATTCAATTGGTGACGAAGTATGTATCATCGTGACCTTAGATATTCATGTAGTCTCCCCGAGTGGTTGGTTCCGCTCTCATGTCCAAATCAGACACAGCAGTCAATGGTCATTTGAGAACAACTGCGGGAACACTTACAGATGCACCGGCGGAGGTATGCAATCAGACCAAACCTTGAGAGCTTCAAGAAGAAGTTTCCGAATATAGACATACGGTCATGTCGTTCAAACTGTTGACAGTACATTAAACTATCACGTCTGACAACACAGTAATACAAAACTTTGTGTACATTAACCTGAATGTAATCATAAATAATCAGTTACAGTGACCTTGGTTTCGAAGTTATGACTGTTTGTTTTTAATATAATTTCAGGAACAATTTGAATTCTGCTTTGACTCTGTGAAGGTCTACATGGACAGGTTCCAGGAATATTCAAACTTTGCTTGAGAAGAATGTTTTATTGAGTTCAGTTAACTTTACCTTTGTGTTTTTCTTTTTTACGTTGTTATAATTCCACTATGTTATTCTTGGTTTTTTTCATTTATTGAAAATATGAATACAATTTTTGTGTTATTTCAAATGATTTCAAGTCCACTCTGTGAGAATTGTTTACGTGAAATAATCTGAATACTATCTCAGAAGCATTAAAGATACATACATGTAACTGACATATTTATTTTCAGATTGGTCTCGTCAATGTGAATATTTTTGTGAGAGTACGTTTGGTTTGTTCTTAAATATTATTGTCCAAGACTATTGTCTTGGTTACCACATAGTGCGACGTAGATTAAGCTTAGATAAAATCAAGATATGTTTACAAAAAGGTATGACGATATATATTTTCCTGAATGCCTCGTATTGTCAGGCTGATATCAACTTGTCAGTATTTTCAGTTACTTTGATTATTTGTTTTTGATTCATTTTATATAAATTACTGTTTCATTTTTGTTTAATAGCTTTCCTCCTTGGATTATAATTTTACGTGCAAACGCGGGATATCCTCGTAACAGTTTGATTGGTCTGGAAGGTTTGCGTTTCCTTAATGCTGCTTTCAGGTAGATTTTTCCCGTTTATTGTTCCTGGTTTAGGGACAGTGTATCCATGTTTTTGTTCCTGCTTAAATGTATATGTAAATTTAGATTTTTCACTTGCATGTCGGCTGTTGTTTAGAGTCCACTTTAGGCGTATATATCGATGAGCACAGTCATCTGGAAAGTGTGAGATAAATTAAAGCCCATTTATGACTATTTTTAAACGATCCATTATTTTCCATAAATGGATAGTTGGGGGTATATAATGTACACTTGGAATTAACTGAACTATTTCGTATTTTGACAATGAAGTGAATGATTCCAATCTTTGTCCGAAAGCTCGTGTCGCCAGCGGGTTCGAACCTGCATCCTATAATTTGAGGACGTGTAATAGTCAACCTCGGCTACGGCGATACATGACAGAACGTTGTTAAAATAACTATTACATATTTTTATTTTGTATAAAATGTAAAGGCTTAATGAATAATATGTACAATGTTGTGTTATGTAATGTTACCTATAACAATGTTCATACTGAAGTTTAGACAATCCTTTGATTAAAAAAAAACAACTTCTAAAAACCAGAAGCTTTTGTGTGCTCTACATTTCCTATTGCCCTTATCAACATGTACTAAAAACGTACAACCGATGGATAAAAAACTTGCTTAGGTCCCCGTGAAATGGCTAAGCGCCTTGTACCATGTATTGCAAAAGTTCAACACGCGGTGGAGCCTGGCGCAAGTAGGGATGTAATGAAAGTCTGAGAAAGTAGGGATGTGTTTTAAGCCCCAGAACAAACAAGTAACAGTTAACAGTTACTTGAACAAATACAATTGAAACAGAAAATTAAACTTAAGAGGTATGATCAGTAGGGTTTTGCAGTGATTCCGTTTTAACTGTGTTGTTCAACTTGTTTTTCATTTATTGTATTTGTTTATGTTGTAATATAATCAAAATACTTCATTTTAATATTCTCCTGATTAAATATCCTATTAATACTTTAATGCCGCTGTCGGTCTGGAAACGCGACTCACACAATCTCATACAGTCGCCTCAGAAATACCATGTTTGATTCTAATTCAACAGAATTATATGTGCGGAACACAAAGTTATGAAAATACACAAAATAAATGAAAGATCAACATTAGAAATTGTTTAGCATTGTTCATTAACATGTTTTTATGTATGCGAACTAGACACTCACCAGCGTGAACAAGCTTGTAGCATGGACGTTGACATTAAACAGTCAATAGGACAGAACGTTCGTGAATGTCCCGACCTGTTCAGGTGATTAGAGGGAAAGGTTAACGACACAAGCGAGGTCTAGATGTCAGCACAACATCTGACATGTATTTTCAGTTATATTGCATGTGTTGTTTCAGAATATTCTATATTTTTTATTATTTTTGTTATTTTTATTCTTATTATTTGAAAACTTATATTTTTTCTATTTCTAATAAATAAAAGCATCCTAATTATGACAAGTTGTGCGTCTTTCTTTTCAAGTCGGCCTTTACAAGAATTGGTTTTGTACCACATGTTCCCGTTTTTTCAGGTGAACGATTGGTTTGCCTTTGCATTTGTTTGTGACGGGTGAAACCTTTTTGTGAACACCTGGTATCATCACTATTTGATAGTGATTCATAAACACATGCTATTGATATAGTCGGAAGCTTTTGGCAGAGATTTCTTATGAATATGGACAGGGTTTTGTCGCTTTCATGCATACTGAAAACACTGAAGAAGGACGACACTGCGAGTGAGGATTATGGGTGAGGTCCCCAGCATCCCCATCTTCCCGAGGCAAGGGAGTTAACTGACTTTAAAAGTGCAGTTTCCACCCTTGCCGAACTAGCCAGGAATTCCTGGGCTCGATCGTAGCGCCACCAGTGGCTATTACCAATTATATCCCGTCTAAGCCTCTCCTATTGACCAATCAGATTCCACCTCTCGTACCACTTGCATTTGCTTCAAACAAAATGGCGGCGCCAAGTCAGGACCATCTGCTCGACAATCACGATCTATATTGTGATAAAACGGGTCTTACATCGCGAAATACATCAAATCACGCGAGCGCCTTGATTAAACACATGACAAGATTTTGAAGATATCCGTTGACAGCGAATTGGCGGTGCAGATGCTTTGCAAATCCTGCAATCGACCGAAATCTGCATGACAGTTTACGAACCGGATTTCGATTTCCTTGCGCGATTTTGATTGGACTATGCATAGACTCGTTAGTCCAGCCAAATTGTAACTCCATAATACCAGCCTAGTTCGGCAAGGGTGGAAACTGGACTTTTATAGTCAGTTAACTCACTTGCCTCGGGAAGATGCAGCATCCCACGCCCATGCTCGTCGTAAGAACTGACCGAAGAAAATCTGGTGGTAGCGCTCGGTGATTAAGCTCAGGTGGTGCGGCTTAGTCATTAAGACCGGGTGTCATCGTACCCGAATTGCGTGGATCGTTGCTCAAGCTGTCAGTCACTGTTTTTTCTGAATCAGATTCGATTATTTACTGCCTGCCATTATACACCTGGAATGTTTATGACTGTGACGGAAAAACACAGTGGTTAAAGGCTCCGATCCTCACGGCGAAAGCCCAAGTTCGATTCCACAAATGGATACAACTTCTGAATTCTATTTCTGGTGTTCCCCGCCGTGATATTGCTGGATCATTGCTGGGTTTGTTTCTCCTCGTATTACGACAGCCACTGTGTCCCGGTCTTCCCTAAGGGGGCGGATATCCGTTTCGTATATTTTACCCCCTTAAAACATGATCTAAACGAGAAATGTGAGTCATATTAACAACGAAATTGTGCACTGTATTTACATGAGTTTACATCTGTATCCACGGTAACGTAAAATATGAAGCAATCATGCAAGGCCTGGGGAAATGTGGCTGATGTGCTCTAATTGAATGAATCAAACGCCGTGCTATACAGCCTTGTTTATATTCCGTAGGGGGGCATGGATAATTTACTGATACAGAACCCTCCTATCAATAATGAAACACGTTGATGGCTTTGATGAATTGGTGTTGTCTTAATAGCAATGATATATACAAGGAGAAACCTCCGGCATGTTATCAGTGGATCACCTGGTGCCATTGCCCCAACAGAAGGCACTAGATAATCGATGACTGTAGACAATGTGGAGTATTCGTTGTTGGGCGTCATCATGACTTAAAGTCTAGTTTATTGCATTTATTTCGTCTCGGTACCATTCCAACTGAATTTCAAATGTCTTATCTGTATGTTATATTTGATGGTACAAAAGGTGAATTTAAAATAGTCCAGTCACGGAGATTAACGCATAGTGTGCGAGTGAGGGTTTAACGTCGCCTTGAAGGATATTTCAGTATATATCACAGCGTGTCATGTTGGTGTGAGAGGAAAGGTCTTAGACGGTTTTTTCACTTTGGTGAAACCCACGAGCACGGGTATGGTGCTGACAAACTTAGAAACATGATCAGGGAGAATGTGGGATTCGAACCCACTATTACAGGTTTTTGGCACGCCGAAGGGAAGAAAGTCTCCACAGCGAACAGCTGTGCCTAAGACGACTGGGATTTCGGAGGCCAAAAGTACAAGTGAAAGTATAATGAAACATACATAGTATGTGTTCATATTGTTTTTGGGAGTATAGCGATCTTACGCAATACTTCAATGAGAAAAACATGTTGAACTGTGTTACTAAGTGTATTTGTTTGTCAGGATGCGTTGTCTGAAATTCAAACGTGTACATAACCGACCATAACAAAACGACGATACAAAGTTTGAAATGACCATGCCTTTATAATTAAGATCGATGGAGCAGTAACGAAAAAGGCAAAGAGAAAGCTCAACTTAAAAATGAACAAAGTACAACACATTACGAGTAAAACATGAAGTAACTTCCTGATGTAACCCTGCTTGTAGGTGCTAAAAGATTCAGTGAACAACCTCGTATACCAATCCATGTGGTACTGCATCATGTCAAAAGTGCCATCTAAGTTCTTAGGGTGTAACTTAGCTGACTGTTATATGAATGTTGAACATGCGGATGAGGAGTTCTCGGGGTCAGTCATTAACATCAATATATGGTCCTGTTTTATCTGAACCTTCACATAAAGATTCTTGATACCACAGAGAGACGGGTTATGCCGTCATGGTACCAAGGGCGGATCCAGAATTGTTAAACGGGAGGGGTCGAAAATATCAAAATGCTCTCTCAATTGGGGGTGGGCTGGATTGTCTGCAACAAATTACATTTGGTTTTCAAATTGGGGGGGGGGGGGGCGAGGGGGGAGCTCTGGACCATCGGGAATTGTAGCCGGGGGGGGGGGGGGCGAGGGGGGGGGGGGCGAGGGGGGGAGCTCTGGACCACCGTCTTTCCAATTCATCCGTGGATCTGGAGGGACGGGGCAGAACATCAACGTTGTTGTTGTGTAGACAGGATCTTGTGATCCGTGCTGTATGCGATCGAACGTTGTCCTGCCGGAATACACCGTTGCCGTTGGCTGCAATTGGGAGGACGTTTGGTGGTCGAATTTCGTTGATGTATCGTTGAGCAGTAAGATTGCCCTGGATATGGACCAAACCTGTCCTGCCATGATGAGAGATAGCCGCCCACATCATAACGCTACCACCACCAAACCTGTCCACTTCCTGTACGCAGTTTCCGGCATAACGTTCTCCCCGACGTCTGTAGACCCGTGCTCTTCGATCCCCTCGACGGAGGTGAAATCTTGATTCGTGGCTGTGGTCGTTTTTTCACGTAGGTGGCGAAGTCGGATGAAGCGATCTCCGGCAGGGATGGTTACTCTTGGTCGTCCCGACCTTGGCCGATCACGTGTTTACCCATGCGGTTGAAACCGATCCCATAGCCTTGTGATGGTGCTGGGCGCTACATTGAAAACCATGGCTACAGTTGATCGGGATTCCCCTGCCTGCAAGCATCGTTTCTTTTCTTCTGTTAATCTTGGCATGTTGTTGAACTGTCAGTGTTCGATTGACGCAGATGCCAGGCAATCAAAATCCCTTCACTTTAACATTATTCACAGTGCTGTTGCACGTGCAGTCCGTGCAGCTCCATGGCCCTTTAGTTCATGCACTGGGTGCGTTTTCCCGAATGGTACGTGTTTCCCGACTAATGGTCTGCATGTCATTGCTGTGATCATTTTGATCCGGGACATTTGTCACTGACACTATAACACATAAAACCTCTTCATTTTGCACCTCTTGGTCTGCTCATTTTGCTTTATGGGCAAAAGTATTCGTGTTGCGTTTCCTTTCTTGAAGGTAATTTGTATTTTGCAAGACATTAGTAAAATTAATTCTTCTGATCAACATTCCTACGTGACCTTTATATCAATGGTTCTCATTACTCTCGATCAACGGAGTTCTTCGTGGATGCAGGGGAATTTTGTTTTATGCTGCAGTCAACAAAAAATTACCGGGCACAAGAAAGTATACATCAATGTTTCATGGTGCTTAAACATGAAACAAACAAGAAATGGTTATTCGATGGCGTCGTATTTGATACGGGTGTCATAGTTGTGATTTTGACCTCAAGTGTCCAGTTTTTCGGCGACTGTTTTCAGACTTGTAACGTTTGGAAAACGTTTGTAACGTTTTTAGTCCAATCTAATTTCAAGAGTATACTTTCTTTTGTCCGGCAGTTTATACCATCACGACCCGTAAATAGTCGGGTCTGGTGAAGTAAATTAGTGGTCAACAACATGAGCAACGATCAACGCCGTCGAGGTACGACCACGACACACGTCTAGCGTGGTGACACGTTGTTATTGCGACAAGCATGGGGCACTGTACATGTAACACTTTGATTAGATTCAAGTGCATTCGGCATGGATTTTAGGAACGCTTCTTTGTGACACTTTAATGACGTCTACGGTCAAAAGGGGACCACTCTGACATGAACAGTGATCACGCCACTTTCACGGGATAGCAGAATACAACCTTCTGATTGGCAGTGGCCTGAACGTTCTTGCGCCATGTTGATTATATCTTGAATAAACGTTTAAAGATTGCATCACGTAATGAACCACACATCAATAATGCCACTCAGAAACTAGTCTTGTTTTAGTCATTTATCTTAAATATAAGCAATCGTGTAAGTATATTTCAAGTAGAATGTGTTATTTTATACTTTTCGTAGCAATCCTACTGTTCAAATGTAATTATATATTCACTTATATAGGAACGTGGATGCGTGTGTGTGTGTGTGTGTGTGTGTGTGTGTGTGTGTGTGTGTGTGTGTGTGTGTGTGTGTGTGTGTGTGTGTGTGTGTGTGTGTGTGTGGCTGTGTGTGTGTGGTTGTGTGTGTGTGTGTGTGTGTGTGTGGCTGTGTGTGTGTGGCTGCTTGTTCTAGTCCGAATGATGCCGATGTATAATGCTAGCTTACTGAGATACCATGCCGCAGTTTAACATGAATACCCTACTCAGACACAGTGTACTTAATGCCCAGCGCCAGACAGGGT